TAGATCCTCTTTTAACTGTGGTTTAGTTGCCAATTCTTTCTCTAGTGTTCATGAGTTTCTATACCTGTAAAACTCGTGATCGATCTCGAGTGCTAGATAATTCTGGACATTGGTGGCTAATCAGCTATGTACCATTTCAGAGATTGCACTGGAACTTTAATGTTATACAGAACCAGATCAGGGGGACAGAAGGATTAAGATTATTTGCCCAAAGTTCATGATGGCCTTGTTTTCAGGTCACTCAGCTGAAGTAGCCTACCTTTTAAATCACATAATCAGAAGGATTAAGATTATTTGTCTCGATTTTGTTACGAACCTTGCTAGAAGTTTACATACCTAATTTAGAAGTTTCTGATAGAGCGGAAAATGAAGAAAGTTGGGCCCAACTAGGATATAGAATTGAGTTGTAGTGTTCTAGAGGAGCACTATAATGTTGTAAGTGGCAAACAGAGGGGTTTCATATGCACTGAATGTGGAGGAAAATCTTGGAGAATGAAGGAAAGGAAGAAAACAGAGATGGAACAAATAAAGTGCATGTAGATGAGTAATTAATAAGTGCTGAAAAGCATGGTGGTGGTGGTGGTGAAAGCTTGAAATGAAGGGTTAGGACCACACTAGTTGTCTTTCCTGGTTTTGTGCAAAAAACTGATGTGACCTAACCAACCCTTTTCTCTTCTGCACTTTTGATTGCTCCTTCCATAGTACCATGGTACTTCTAGGTTGGCATTTGTCAAGCCCCATCAATGACCATCTCTAATTTGCTTGGTTCCCTGCTAGTTATCGGTTCGGCTACTTTGCTGAGGGTCCTCCCTTGCCGCGCCCGCAGGCATCTATTGGGTGTACAAGATATTATTGAACTGTTGGATAAGGTGCATATACATGTTTACAATTATCAAGGATGATAGATGATAAAATTCATATGCGTCCAACGGTCTTAACAGTGAGGTTGCATGCACCTCAATGTAGTCATGCTCGTCTGATCATTATTATTCTCTCTCTTACTTAGTGCTTGATATGATCGTAACCTTGATCTCTTCTTTATGCAGACAAATTCATTAGTGTTACAATAAACTTTCTTAGCCTAGCTGAATGGTTATCTTTAAACAATGTTCAATTGCTCTATAATTGACCATTGATATATGAGTCTATAAGCATCTTCTATATCTTGTAGAGAATAACTTCTTTACCAACACAAGGAAAGAAGAAGAAAAAGGGATGTATACTAATTTAGGAAAGAGTGAGGAGGACCATCCAATTTGAGACATGCATAGGCTTTTGATTTGAGTCAATAGTGGTGGCTATTAGTATTAGTTGGTTGTTGATTGGTTGGGGGAATTGGCACATGTGAGGTGCCATATTGGATTTGCTTGAAATGAGCTTTCTAAAGATTAGGGGGGAAAAAGAGTAATGTGCCTCTCCAACAAAACTTCCTAGAGTGAACAAACCCATGTGTTTTTATGAATATATGTTGTTTGAATCTCTTAAATATAATGGGAATTCCAAAAAAAAAAAAAGTTGGGTAAAGTTACAACTTATGTTTTGTATAGTTGTTTAAACCACGACGAAGCACAATACAAGATCATTAAATAACTCTACGTTTGTTTCTAAAAAAAAGTTGATGAAAATTCAATAGAAAACTTAATTGAATGACACAATTTGTACAACATAAGATACTTGTAACCCTTTTCTAAAACAATTATAACCATCTTAAACATATTTCTGAATGTCTTCCCAATGAAAAGACCAATCAATATACAAGAAATCTCCCCTTGGGTTTCCTAGATAAGGCTTTTCTTTCCTCTATAGGAAAAAGGGGTTTCCAACACAAAACAAACATGCCATATAGATAGCTTAAGCTTCTTCTAAATTTTGGAAAACTCTAACCATGTAGATATTTATAGTCACAAATCATAGTCCTAATCCAACAATTCTCCCAACTAAAATTCATCTCTCACTGTACTTATAGTTTCTTATTTCTCGCCGGAGCGCATATTATATGATCATCATTCATTTATCAGCTGAAATCAGATTGTTCTCCACTATCAAAATCTACAACTCTAACTTTCATGTGAACATTAGATAATTTATCGTCACACTATATGCAGTCTAATCACAATTTCATGGACTACACAAGAATTTATGATTTATGTTTTATGTTTAATCTGAATACAATCTCTGAATATGAACCCGCCAGGCGCCAACTATCTCTAACTCCGACCGTCCTGACGAATCACAACTTCGGAATCTCACTCAATAGTAACACCATAAATCTGGAAATTACACATATCATGTGAGTTGGGATAAAGTAATATGGAGAAAGGGAGGCAAATGTTGGTGGGGAAATCTAAGAAAGGAGGGGTGAAAAGGAGGAGTGGTGGTGGGCAAAATTTTCATAAAGACCTAGCTTACCTTATTTCTTCTTCCCCTTGCCAAAAAGAAAAAGAGGGGCAAAAAAGCTAAGGTGTGGGCTTCTGCTGCGCCATGGTTGGCTGTGGGGACAGATTGATAGATAGATTAGATAGACAGCCAAACGAGAAAATGTAATGTCAAGAAAACACTGACTCACTGACCCTTTACCTCTGTCTCTCTGTGCCTTCTTTCTCTTGCTTTTCTGCTGCTGCACACCCTCTGAAAACCCTAGCCAGAGCAATATAATTAAGCATGGCTGGCTGGTTGGATTTATACGTATGTACTCATTCATTCATCATTACAATTTACACCCCCATTCCATTCATTCATCCATTCATTCAAACATTTAATGTCGATTGCGTCCATCCAACGATCGTGAAAACGCGGGATACCCTACCGTGTCGTCCCAGCGCGCAAGGGAGGTCGATCCAACGGTCGCGAAACGCCCAATCAATACATGTGAAACTGTTGTGAATATTGTTGTAATAATGGTTACTTATACTTGCAACTGCATGATTTGACATATCAGATTCTGTGCTGTCAGCCCTGCAGCCCCCATCCATTCCAACAAGACCTGCTTGCTCCAACAGTAACCATCACCAAGCATTGTCTTCCCCACCCACCCCACAATTCATTACTCCCCAAATATGGTCCTACTTACCAATCTGGTCTTGTAAATTGATTCATAAAAAATATAGAAAAATAAAATTAAACATGGAATCAAAATGACTTAGTCTGAAATGAATGTGAAAACGGAAAATAAAAAATCTCAGAATTACGAAATTCGAACCAACCACTTTAAAGTTGTATTGATGACCTAGTTGTATGAATGTGCAAATGATATGGTTTTGGACATGAGAATGATCCTAATCGACGATCCGATATAGAACATATGATCGATAATGCATGCAACAAACTTTTTTTTTTTTTTGAACGATTTGTTTGGTAATTATCTCTTAGCAGTATGTAGCATGCATTTGCCACGCAATGAAATATTGTTTTCTCATTTTTTTCAAACGGTTTTTCTTTTCTCAAATCCGAACCCAACCATTTTCTTTCAGTTTGTTCATCATGAATCTAACTTTTCCAACTAATTCATGAATAGCCATGAATGGTGGGTTCTTAGGGCAATGATCTCTAATTGTAGTTCACGTAAGCATGACCTATTTGGTGATCAGAAAAAGCCCTATGTGAATGTGACATTGTATGGAATGGAACGTGAGCCTAATTAATTAACAGTATTAATGTAGCTTTAACAGTATCGCCATGAATGATCACGACATGGCGGCTAAATAGTTTTATCTTATACCCAGGGGGCAACGACCATTCATCTACATAACACATGCACATTATAATGCACAACGATTTCCAACTATTCCGGATTAATTAGGTATGAAAGGTAATAAGTAGCACTTTGAGGTTGGTAAGAATAGAGTCTCACATGCACTAACAAATTAAGTCTTGACTATATTAATTTATGGAGTCAAAACAACATAAATATAAATATGTGTCGATACTGAAACGAATTATATCTGCTGAAACGAATTAAGATATAACGATCAAGAATGCATCACAATAAAATGCATCCTACCAATCAGGACGGAATTTATCGAAATTTTAGAGGTTGGAATTCATAATTTACTAGTGGGATTGCACTTACCAAAAGATTCTGTTTTTTTACATGCTACGGAAGCGGATTTACATAGAAAAGGGGGAAAAAAACAATTACGGCTATCAGTTTGGTTTTGATTTTTCGATTTTAACGGAAACTACTCTAATAAGAAGTTTAATGATTTTGGATTTTATTTTAATCCGTTGAGCATTTTAATGATTTTGGTTTTCGGTTAAAATCAATAACATTCTAACTAAGCCAATACCCGTCAACAATACGCGTTCTCACCAACTTATGTATAATAGACTTCTTTCCTATTTTCATATTTCTTGTTGTCTTTTCTTACTCCACTTTTGAACTTGCCAAACTATTAGTTTGCTTTTTGGTTTATCCAAACCAAACCAAAACCATTAAGAAACTTATTGCTTTTTCGGTTAAACAATAATTAACAAGGCTCTTAACTAGTGATGGCAATGGGGCAGGACAGGGTGGGTACCTCAATACCCATGTCCCGCCCCACGCTAATTCGGGTCGGGACGGACAAAACTTGCGTGGGTACGGCCGGAGCGGGTTGACCTACTCTTATATGTTATTTGAAAAAAATACACGCAAATTTAATTTTTACGATAAAACGAACGAGAAAATATTTTATAAATGAAAAATAGTGATAATAGAATGAGTAATTGAGTCTAACAAGTTGAAATATTGACTCTAACCAGTTGAAAGAAAAGTCAAAATATGAGAAAGAAATATGTATAGATACCGTAAAACATTGAGATAAAATGGGCTAAGAACGGGACGTCTGAGCAGGGAAGGGCAGGTCGGAAGCAGATATCCATGCCTCGCCCCCCACGCTAGTGCAGGTAGGGTAATACCCGCGCGCCGGGAAGGTTATGTGGAAAAAGGAAGAAGAGAAATATTACTGCGGATTGCACAAAGAACACAAGTGTGCTGCAGTATCCTACTTTACCCACCGTGTAATAGACAGAAACGATCGCAACAGCACAACAGAACAAAACTGATACATGGCATGGCAGAGATCCGATCCCAAAAAAAAGAAACAATTCATTGACATGATAGATCAGACACAGTAGCACTACTCCCTCATCATTCTCAGTTCTATTATTTTCCTTTCCCCCCTTTAAGCAGTAAGCAGTAGCTATATAACCTCTCATTTTTATTCTCAATCTCCAACCATAATAGACGTTCTTAGTTATTATTGCCCTAATTACATTGAATTTGAAAGCTGATGAGTCTGGGAGCTGCATGCATGCTATTAACTCTATTAATATTATTATCTGTTCATGACAAATCTCTCTGAAAGAAGAGAAGTACAGATCACAGGGAGCCATTGAGCTCATGATAAAAACCATTGTCATTGCTGCTGTTGTTGTTATTGGGAGTTTTCTTGTGATGGTTGAGTACTAGTGTGCCAATGTTATGATCATTGATTATATTATCATCAGTTGCAGATGATCCTCCATATGGTTGCTGATTTTGATGATGGTGAAAATGGTGGTGGTGGTGGTGGTGATGATCTCCTAGTTTTGCATGCTTGTTCTTGTTCCCTTCCAGCTTCAGCCCAAAGTGGATGTGAGGGAAATGTGCCCACTGCATCACAAACAAGTGTCGTTTGATTATATATATATGGTCCCGGATTTCGTATCGGTTATCGGTGATCCAAATTGAAATCGATGTCAGGATTGAATAGCCCTCTCGCTTGTTCCAACAATTGGATTGTTTCCTCACGTAATTAATCGATCTCCCAACATCAACATAAAGCGCAATTGTTATTTCCTGATCTTATAGCTAAACGAATCAAACGATTAATTGGGCGTCGAAAAAACCCTAAAATCGCCCTATCAAACTGAGCCCCAGAACCAGGAGATCAACGGCTATAGCTATTATGCATTTTTGTAGGGCAAGTATGCAAGCCCTAACTGGACCACAAATTTAGTTGTGATACCATGAAGGTGTGGCCAAAAGGTATAGGGACAAAAAAAAAAACAGAATATTTGTACTCTGTAAGTTCATCTTGGTGGGGAAAATAAAGAAGCATTTTCAAAGTATCATGGATTTTTTTTTTTTTTTAGGTTTAATTCTTGCAGAAGCAACATGATGTGAAGATTATAATTAATGCAAAGTAACTCCCTCTGATTATTGATTACAACCCTAATAATCATGGTCACTTAATAATTGGCGATCATCAACGTAATGATTAAATAGGAGTGACTTACATTTTTAGCTGCGGTGCTGAAAGCTTCTCTGTGGCTAATCTCAGGATTACTTGCTTTAATCCTTTGGATCTCCTCCCTAATTAACGATGCTAATTAGTAGTACTTAATCATCATGATAAACTCTATTGAAGCAAATTTACTTCAATTGCAAGAAAAGTGAACAAGAAAGCGAATGTTTAACTCACTTGATGAACCTGTTATATGCAGAAGGAACCCGCTGTCGCTTCTCTGGAGCTGAATTAATTAATTTTTGCACATTATCAATTTCCCAACATGTATACAAACAGCAAAAACAAAAGCCGATTAAAAATAAAAATAAAACTAAGTAATATGGTCTAGCTAGGTGAGGAAAATGAGAAGAAAATTGAGAGCATGTCATATGCAAATTTGCCTTTTTCTAGCTCGGTACGAGTTTTTGCGGAAAAAAATATAATGATACTATACCAGATCGGGGATGCTATTCTAACTCTGCATCAAATTCTTGCATACGAGGAATGTTATTTACAAAAAAAAAGATCATCCTATCGATTCGTTGATATGCATCCTCGTGAAAAATGGCGGAGCCAAATGAAAATGCAAAAATTTATTTTGTTATTGATAAGCAGCTAAAGCTATGCATATATATATAGCTAGGTTTCCTTATGAAATTCATGCATGTACATAAATCATTGAATGTGTATTGTTGGTCCTCCAATTAGCATATTGATATTAATTCGCGCGTACTAGGTCAAAGTAGACGCGCGTGAACTAATTAAATGCATGTATTATTATTATTATTATTTTAAACCAAGATAAGTCCCAGAGTATGGCAGGCCAACAAAAACTAACAATAATCAAGAACGACAGTCCGTACTCCGCGTATGCAACCAAACTATCGATGAAAAACCATGTTTTGTTACGAGGTAAAATAACCTCCATGCATGGTTAAGTATTAAATGAAAAAGAACCGAGGTGCGGAATCGGATTAGGTACTCACGGCGGATGGGAGGGAGCCTAGGAGGTTCGTGGAGATGATTATCCACCCAACTATACTCCAACGACGGCGATGGCGGAGGTAACGGCGGAGACACCACCACCATCACCTGCTGCTGCTTGCCGCTGTTGTTGCTTATGTTGCTGCTGCTGCCGCTGCTGTACTTAGACGAAGACGATGATCCGGACGTGGACCCGCCACAGTCTTTCGATGATGAGTTGTTATTAACGTTGGTGTTGCCTAGTCCTTCCTCAAACCCTAACTGCTCCTTCTCCGCCTCCAATGACGACTACATAGGTAATAATAATAATAATAATAATAATAATAATAATAATAATGGTACACATGCAACAGATTATGACGACGATTTATTGACCAAATCTTGACATCCAAATTAACCAACCTGGTGAGGGAGAGATGCTTCTGTAGCAGCTGCAGCATTTGGTTGAGAATTGGGGAGGAAGGAGTTATTATTATTATTAGGGTAAAGAGAAGGAGTTGGTGTTGGCGATGGTGGTGGTGGGGCTGCCATGAAACTTCCCATGTTGACTGACAGCAAATTGGCGCAATGCCCGCATCTCACTGTTACCATTGTGTACATGCTGCTGCTTGGCACACTCACCTGCACCCCAAAAAATGAACATCATTTGCAACCAAAATGGTGTAGCATGTAACAAAAACACGAACAAAGGGTTTGATCTGGTGATATTATTACTAGTATAAAACAAACTTATACCACCCTTAAAAAAAACACACACACAAAATAGAAAGAGAAAGGGTTGGGGAAAATTTTTGAGCTGATCGAATTGGTCGATCACTGTGGTCAAATTCTCACATGGGTAATAACTAATGAGGCCAGCAAAGGCAAGCTGCTAGAACATATACATATTTGGCCAATCATCAGCCCTGTTGCTTAGCTTCCTTCACTGGAACTGTTTTCGACCCATCGTTTATGTAACAACATACAATACAGCAAATATCACCTACCTAACTGGAGTACAATGTGAACTTCTGTTTTGGACCTTGTGCAGAAGCAGTATGTATTGCTTTTTTAGATACATAATAAGTTCACATTTTTTAAAGTTACTGAGTTTATGTGAAAATTTTGTATATGGAAGTTTTGGAGAGTAAAGTACACATTCTGAACTTTTCGGTGGGCTTTCATTCAAGCTCTCTCCCACCCTGACTTTTTTTTTTTTTTTTTGGGTGGTGATGATGAGTGAACAAGATGTAAGCAGGCAGGCTAAGAAATGTAAATATTGAACAGTGATGGAAAAAAGGACAAAAATGCAAAAGAAGGGTGAGGGAGAAGAGAGAGAGAGATATGGGGAGGGAGGAAAGGGACGTGACGGTAACAGAAATGCAGAAGCCACAACGCGCAATTCAATTTATGATATGTAACAAATTGAGAGAGTACAGCTTCTGAGGCCTGAGGCCCCCAGCTTAGCAGCAGAAAGAGCTAGCAATTGATGAATAAAGAGAAAAAGTGGTCTGGTTCTGGTTTGTGTTTGTGTTTGTGTTTGTCATGGTCCAGTCGTTGTAGACATATATAATATCATACAAACATATATATGACAGGAGAAAATGGGCAAAAAGAGAGAGAAGAAATCATGGGTCTTAATAAATATTGCTGCTTTTCATATTAAGATGATAAAAGAGGGAGGGAGGGAAAAAGGGAATGGCTGTATTATCTGCAGAAAGCATGCATTGGAACACAAGCTGGGTAATATGGGTTGTTATTGCTGCTATAAAATTAAGGTCCCCAGATTCCTTGGTGGGGAAAAAAGAAAGAGATCTTAATTAGGATCCACATAAGCAAGGTTAGGGTTTTACAACCATAGTAATTAGCTAGCTAGTTATAGACCTAGCTGAGGATCATTTCCATAATATAACTTGCAATTATTAAGCTTAAATGAAAAAACCCATTTCAACCCAGATTCCAATTTTTTTGTGTGATGATAAGAAATGAGTGAAGGCAGTAGTGGATCCATCCATCCATGTATCAGAATCCCTTCCTCCTCGCATCCCAATACAATTCCTTTTTTTCTAGGGCCCTTACCTCTATCTATCTAGCTACCCTCTCTCTCTCTCTCTCTCTCTCTTTTTGTTTTGTATAGTAGTACTGCTACCAGCTGCTGCTGGGGATTATCAATTGGACAATAGCATGCTCCAATTCTCTACCTCCAAAAACACTTCTTTCTTTTAAAGCATCTGGTTTCGAAGGCTGTTTCTATTCTATGCCAAACCCTCCCAAAGACAGAAAAAACAAACCAAAACCAAAAGGAAGAGTAAAGAGAAAAAGAGATGAGCCATAGACATGCAGCAGCAGCAGCAGCAGCTAAACTTGCTATAGCTAGATTCTGCACTACTAGGCAGCTGTTTTGTGGTGATGGACTTAAGACAGAGACTGATCATATGAAACCCAAAGGAAAGGAAAAAAGGATATAAAGAATGAAAGCAAAGGAAGGGGGAGAAAAAGATTGAGAGATAATAATTGAAGAGTAGTATTACCGCTAGAACTGTGTTGCAGAAGTTGCAGTGAACATAACACACTCTCTCGTTAGTACTCGCCGTCCCTACATCACCGGCGGCGGCCACCTGATCCTCCATCCCTTCTTTCTTCTTCTTCCTGCTGCTGCTGCTGCTGCTGTTCTTGGTGTGACAGCATACCCAGTTCAGATATTTAATTGGGTTCTCTTCCTTTTTTTCCCTCTCTCTCTGTAGACAATAAAGATGGAATCTTTTTTTTCTCTCCCAAACAGCACCACACTCAGTAGCAGTACTCTGTAGCCTTATTGATGTCCATCGGTTTTCTGCTTGTATGGCGCCATATCCTTTTGTTTTAAGGAGAGGAACTTATAGCTAGGGGTTGTAGGGTGAGTGAGATTTTGGTGTGTGGAGATAACAATTATAACCCAAAGAAAGTGAATGAATGAATGAAGGAAGGAAGCAGAACGGGTACGAAATATAAGAAAGAGAGAGAGAGAGGATGGGGTGGTGGTGATGAGAGGATGGGACTAGACTGGTCGGGAAAGAGTAGAGTAGAGTAGTAAGTAACTCAAACTCACTCACTCACCCCAAGTTGGAGAGAAGAGAACTCCCACCGCCATATTTACCTTTCCCCTCCCTAGTCTCTCTCTCTCTCTTCATCTTCCTTAGGATTAGGGTTGAATTGAGTGTGCAACGGTTCGGTTCGATTTAGATTCGGATCGTATGATGATAGAAGTAGAACGTGTCGGAAGGTAAATAAAATTTTAGGATATGAAATATTGAACCGAAAGTTTATTGATTCATGTTTAAATATCACTCGACTCTGTTTCTTTAATATTTTAGAAAGTTTATGGAATCGAGAACCAAATCGTATTTTATCGGCCTGGGTCGGTTCGATCCGGATGTCGGTTTGGCCCGATGTGTAGATCGAATCGTTGCATCCACAGCAGTTGTTAGGGCTCGTGGCTATGGTGTAGTTTTGAGTGACTTTTTCAACAACGAATGTGTGTAATTCAATTTCTAACAAATTATATACGCACACAGGGGCGGATACATGGTGGTTTAGGGGTGTCCCGGGACACTCCTAAAATTTGAAAAAATGATTATCCAACTTTCGATAGTAGTTTGTGTATGGGTAAAAAAAAATTAGTGATAGTGGAGCACCCTTACAATATGGAAAATGATTATTCAACCTCCTATAGTATTTTGCATATGGGTACAAATAATATTTAAGTGATAGGGTCTATGTGATTTGAACTTGGGAACACTGCTACTATTAGTAAGTATAGTTTCAATTAGACTACAACTCATTTGTAGTTATGTTTTAGATCAAAATATAATAGTAAAAGGCTATTCTTATCCCCAATTATTTTCAAAACCTAACGATTAAACCCAATTACGGGTTATCCTTGTCTAGTAGGATATCTCACGAGAGATTTGTTGAGCAGTGTATACACCAAATGTATTTTACCATTCTTTCATAATACGGAACATGTTTGAACTTTTATTCTAACTTTTACTAGTTGAATTTTTTCATATTTAATAATTATTTGATTTAATTTTTAATTTTAATTTTTTTTTTAAGATGACACCCCTATTTAAAATTCCTGAATCCGCCACTGTACGCACATCTGATCTCTTATTTATAAGAAGATCCATTACACATGTTAATTAAGCAGCTTTCGTCTTGTACCAATGATGCATGACAACATATTCAAATCACATCTCCTCCCATTCTAATTGTATTGAAGACCATATTACACGACTAACTCAAATGTACATATTACGAAAGATTTTACGAAAACTTGCAGTATCAATCCATTATAGAGATGGTAAGCACCTTTTTTTCATTTGTTTACTTTTTAAGCTATGTCTAGGGTTTTGATTGTTGTGTTGATCAATTTATTATCCGTACCCAAACTCTCTCCAGCTTTTATTGAAGAGGACGTCACCCATCAACCCTATGATTATTGACTTTTAATTAACTCCTTTCCATACATATTGATGGCAACATCCTAACCCACACCACCACCCCCTACATTAGTACATAGTTAATTAACCTCTTCTAGATTACTATCTTCTTTCAAGTTTGCATGATTTAGTTATGCATGAAAGTTAAAAGAGTAACAATCAAGTTAGCCAAAATAGTGTGAGAGGTTTTACTTACAAAAGCTTGATAAGTCCCTTTTAGGTACCTGCATTTGGTGAAAAGAACGTAGCTACTAGTTAGGGAGGTTTGACTTGCCACGCTGGTAGATTGATAACAGTTTCGAATCACAAAATTTCGAGTAGATGGTTAAGAAATAAATAACCGTATGTTGATCATCTGATTACGTAAAATGCGTGCCCCGTCATTCAACTAGGTAATTAGTAAGATTATGAATTCCATATTGTGTTCACCATGATTATATAAAAATGCACATTCGTTCTTCTTTCCTTGTGTTATAAAAACAAGGGACAAGAAGCGATTAGCTTTGGGCCTCACATCACAATGAAACATAGATACGTTCCATAATATGAAGTTCAATGGGCCATTCCACATTCCAAATTATTGGGCTCGAGTTACCAAATAGAGTTGCTTTCAGCCCACCTCATTTTAGCTTGGACTAGCCAGCCCAATATAAGCGCTCGCCGGTTTTATAGCCCATATATGGCCTCCTCTCACAAAGTCACAACTTACAACACTCCCTTGTTCATTTTGGTTTCCTCGGCAAAAGTACGTCACAAAATTAGATTAAAAAATGGAAATAAATATTGTAGTGAAGTTTTATATGCACATATTTTCAGAGTCAATATTGTTAGTAACGATCTATCAATATAATAGGATATTCGACGGGTGTCATTACCGTATCAGTGTTGAAACAAGATTTTATCACTGGAAAAGTTTCAATTTCTCAACGATACTCTATTGTTACAAAGAAAACTAATGGACGACCAAGACAAGAAAATGATCGACCGGTTCTTCATTACCTTATCAGTATTAGAACAAGATTTCATTTGTTACCATTTAACCCGAGTTAATATCAACATAAACCTCTACAAATAACCATCTATTTATTAATTTATCACTCTATACCATGTGACCCAAACCACCAAGAAAGACAAGAGAGAGGAAAAAAAATCACTAGCATTATTAACACATCTTAACTATCAAAATGAAAGCAAAAGGATGACTCGTTCATCTGCAAGCAAAACAAGGAAAAGCATATCCAAATCGATTTGTCGTGCTGACTGCTGAGTGTAGATAATTTGTTTCGTCTATAGTTATTAGTTCGTATTATTCATATTTCTTAAATATGAGTCGTCCTTGAATGACTCCTTTAATTATATGATACAAATTGTTATTTTAAGAAGCTTAATCCATGAGATACATGTCGTTGATAAATGGAAGAAAAAACATCATCCAAAGACAAGTATAGTTCTCCTAAGAAAAGTGAATTTCCTTCCTAAAATTCAATGAAAAGTATTGTTTTAACTCCCAATCATACTCTAGAAATGTTTTGACAAATTGTTATTTCTTACCAGGCAGTTCTTCCTTGTTTTGTTTGTTTTCTTGTTTTTGTCAATATCGCGCCTTGTACCCACTACTACCGAACCCTCTTCTTTTAACAAATTACACACTTTAACGTTTCTAGGTAGATGAGAAGGTCTTTCTGGTTGGTCAGCACAATAAATTTGCTCGTTTCCATGGCCGACGACGTCCCTTCTCTCCAATCCACAATACCCATCATTCTGGTTTAGGCACGTTGCAAACCTTATAGCAGTTCATTTCTTCCACCATCCAATTCTCCTCCCAACTACCCATTTCACCGGCAGCGGGGAAAAAAAGCCTCCAGAACCCTCCCGCTTGCATGGCGCCGACCAGGATTTTCGCCGGGCTGTTCCTTCTCCTCGCCATCTACTGCGCCCTCGACCCATTCGAGCACAGCGCAATCTCCGAGTTCCCTGATTTCGTGTCCCACCCTGTTGAGATGCCGCCGTGGTCGCTGGTTCCCACCGAGAAAGACGAGCTCAACTCGCTGCAGAAGTCGGAAATCAAGTTCCTGGGTCAGATTCAAGGCCCCGAGAGCTTGACCTTCGACCCTCTTGGCCGCGGGCCTTACACTGGTATCGCGGATGGCAGAGTCGTGTTCTGGAATGGCGAGAAATTCGTTGATTTTGCTTACACTTCCAGCAATAGGTCAGTCAGACTATGAATTCAAATTGGGGGTTTCCTAAATTCTTGAGTCCTGGTCTTGTGGAAGGGAAAAAGTTTGTGCCTTTTTCTGGGTTTTTCGATCCTTTGGACGGCCCTTTTGAAGGGTCTTTAAAGGGTTTCTGTTAGCTGAACTCCGATCAATTTGTTTCCAATTTGAATGTTTAGCTGGGCTCAACTGTGTTTTATGGATCATGAACTTTTGACTTTGGTAGACTTAGTAATAATGTATTGGCTATGTTCTGATCTGGGTTTCAGGTCAGCAATATGTGACCCTAAGCCTTCCCCTCTGGGCTACTTGAAGAATGAGCACATCTGTGGCAGGCCATTGGGGATCCGATTCAATAAGAAGACGGGTGATTTGTACATTGCAGATGCGTATTTCGGGCTGATGAAGGTTGGCCCTGAAGGTGGAGTAGCAACATCAATTGCTACTGAGGCAGAAGGAGTTCCATTCAGGTTTACTAATGATCTAGATATTGACCAAGATGGCAACATTTACTTCACTGATAGCAGTACTAAGTACCAGAGAAGGTAAACAATATGTCTCCACTTTTTAAGTTCATCACTTTCTTTTACCAATAGAATGGCAAATTCTCTATAGATCACACCTTACTGTCCCCATTGGAATGATGTAACAATATGTCTTCATTTGCAAAGCAAGTGACGTGCTAGTTTGCTATTGGATCACACCGTACTGATCCCCATGGAATGATGTTTTTGGAAGTTCTGAATCTCTGCTTCAATCTGTGTTTTTATGTGTTTCAGGAACTTCATGCAGCTGGTTTTCTCAGCAGAAAACACTGGGAGGGTTCTAAAGTACGATCCCATCACGAAGAAGGCCTCTGTACTTATGAAAAACCTTCAATTCCCAAATGGGGTTTCTCTAAGCAAAGATGGATCCTTCTTTGTCTTCTGCGAAGGATCACTCGGCGTGTGAGTATTTCTTCAATACTGGCCCCCATCGGGCTTATATGTAGAGTTACCTGATTTCCATTAAGTCTAAGCTAATTTATTAATCGATAATATATGGAAGATAATATATACATCTCTTACGAACACAATGCTGACTCTTTTGCCCTTGCTATCTGCAGATTGCACAGGTACTGGCTAAAAGGCGAGAAAGCCGGCACTTCAGAGATACTAGCAGTTTTGCCTGGATTTCCGGACAACGTCAGGACTAATAAAGATGGCGACTTTTGGGTAGCCATCCACTGCCGAAGATCCTACTACACTTACCTATGTGCCAAGTTCCCAACTTTAAGAACATTTCTGCTGAAGCTCCCGATTTCAGCCAAGATTCAGTTCCTGCTTCACATTGGGGGCAGACCACATGCCTTGGTCGCCAAGTATAGCCCGGAAGGTGAGCTGCTGCAGATATTGGAGGACCGTCAGGGGAAAGTGCTGAAAGCGGTTAGCGAAGTGGAGGAACGAGACGGGAAGCTGTGGATCGGAAGCGTGTTGATGCCCTTCGTCGGTGTTTATAGCTTGGAGTAAGTAGTAAGATGGAGCGAGGGAGAGTTAAAGGGTATACCTTTGTTGTATACAGGGGTAATAAGGTGGTTTGAGTTTGTTCATCCCCACATAGGAAGAAATAATGTGTGTTTGGAACTGAGTTTCTTTTATTTCCCACATACTTGGAAGGGAGAAACGAAATGTTTTTTTTTTTTTTTTGCTAGGTTATCCTCCTCTGTTGTTGTGCTTGTGTACTGCTGACTGAGTTCTTCTCCTTTTGACAGGCAACTTAGCTATTGAAAAGCAACATTGCACTTGTGTTTCTCCCTGAATCAAGTGTGATGGTTGGTTAATGGAGCTGAGTTTATTATGGTCGTGAACTTGCCGTGAAGCATCCCATACGTCAAAACGAGTCGTTGTGACAAAATATTATGTTTGGAAAATAAAAGATGAATTTGTTGTGAAACATTCTGACCATCAAAACGAGTTTTGGTAACGAAATGTTATATTTGAAAAGTAAAACAATGAGATGTGGCAATTAAACGCTTCACATTGTCGTAGTTGAGGTCTACATTTTTTAAAATGTCTTGCTTTTCCAAACATAAATATTTTGATTTAACAAACACATCTTCTATACTACGATTTTTAGCAAACAGGTCACTATACTTTATCATTTACTTATTTTGATTCTCTTGGTACAAAAATGAAACACATCTTCTGTACTACGATTTTTAGCAAACGGGTCACTATACTTTATCATTTACTTTATTTTGATTATCTTGGTACAAAAAAATTCATTTGAAAAATCCAAATGACCAATGACTTATCGTATGGAAATGACAACTACTATATTTGAAAGTCAAATTGAAAAGTGAATATTTTTAACATACCAACAAGATATTGTGTACATCTACGACGCGATTATTACTAAGCATGGTCGATTCTAACAATAACTAGTTCAAATTTATATAAGTAAGATAAAGATGAATAACCTAGTGTAAAAGGCATAAATTTATATATACAAGCCACAAGGACTTGTTTGTCAAAACAGGAGAATACATGAACTATAAAATTACCAGGACCATATTTTTCCCCCATTAGTGATGGCAATTTCAACCCGCCCCGCGGGTATTACCCGACCTGACCCGCGATGGGGCGGGTATTACCCGACCCGCAGTAGCGTGGGGCGGGGCATGGGTATCTACTTCCGACCCGCCCTGTCCCGTTCTAGACTCATTTTATCTCAATTTCTTACAATATCTATACATATTTCTCCTATTTTGACTTTTCTTCAACTAGTTAGAGTCAATCTTTCAACTTGTTAGGATCAATTATCCATTCTATTATCAATATTTTTCATTCTTAAAGTGTTTTTCCCTACGTTTTATTGTAAAAAGCAAAATTTACTTGTATTTTTTTGAACAACATATAAGAGTGGGTCGACCCGTCCCGCCCCGTACCCACGCAGCTTTTACCCGCCCCGACCCGTAGTAGCGTGGGGCGGGGCATGGGAATTGAGGTACCCGCCCCGCCCCGCCCCATTGCCATCACTACCCCCATTATAATTGCGTGAAGACGATGCAATAATTAACAAAGGAAGCCGAATCCGTGTAGGATATTAATTCTAATTCGCCCTTATCCTTGTAAAATGTGGACTTTATTCCCACTAATTTCGCCTTTAAGTAACTCCACAGGCCGAGCTTAATAAATGACTGATCGGAACACGAACAGAGCGAAAATCCCAAAGCGGAAAAATTTCCCAAACCCTGCCACCGCCACCGCCACCGCCACAGCCACAGCCGTCTCCAATCATGGATCCAGAAGATTACTATGGCAGCGACGATGATGATTACATGATCGACGTCGACGATGAACCCAGTGATTTCGTGGAGGAAGAGGACCGAAAGACCAACACCGCTGCTTTCTCAACCCTCAGCAAAGAGGACATCGACCGGCGCCAGGAGGATCTGATCGCCGACGTTTCCACCTTCCTCTCCGTCCCGAGAGCCGTCGCAATCGCGCTCCTCTACAAGTTCAAGTGGGACTCCGACTTGGCCCAGGAGAACTGGTTCTCCGACGAGGAGGAGATGCGCCGCCGCTACGGCCTGACTGCCGCTCCGGCTCCGCCTCCGGCGGCGGTGAACAGAAACAGCCACGAATGCAAGATTTGTTTCGAGACGTTCGAGATCAAAAACCTCGCCTCGCTCTCATGCGGCCATTACTTCTGCAGGACCTGCTGGTCGAGGTACATCGAGCTGAGCATCGACGACGGCGCTGGGTGCCTGACCCTCCGCTGCCCGGAGCCCAATTGCCCCGTCCTGGTCTGCCAATCGACGGTCGGAACCCTAATTAGCGACCGCCGGTACGCGGAGAAGTACGCCAGGCTCCTCCGCCGGTCCTACATCGAGGGGAAATCGGGCCACAAGTGGTGCCCTGCCCCCGACTGCGAGACCGCGGTCAAATTCGAGGTCGGGGAGAAGTCCAATTACGACGTCGTCTGCGACTGCACGCACGAGTTCTGCTGGAACTGCTCGGAGGACGCGCACCGGCCGCTCGACTGCGCGACGGTGCTGCGGTGGATCCGGAAGAACAAGTCCGATTCGGAGAACGTGAATTGGGTTTTGGCGAACACCAAGGCCTGCCCCAAATGCCGGCACCCGATCGAGAAGAACCAGGGCTGCAACCACATGGTCTGCAAGTGCCGGCACCATTTCTGCTGGATGTGCCTCGGCGACTGGAAGAAGCACGGCGAAGGATCGGGAGGGTACTACAAATGCAATTCGTACGAGGCGAAGAAGGCCGAGGGGAAATTGAGCGAGGAGGAGGAGAAAAGGCAGCACGCGAAGCGGCTGGTGGATCGGTACGCGCACTACTTCGAGCGGTGGGCGGGGAATCGGACGGCGAGGAAGCGGGCGGCGGCGGATCTGGAGAAATTGAGGGCGGAGCATTTCCCGCAGCTGGTGTACGACTACCGGCTGACGTACACCGAATTGGACTGCGTGGTGAGGGCGTGGATGCAGATCAAGGAGTGCCGGCGGGTGCTGGAGTGGACTTATGCGTACGGTTATTACCTGGGGGCGGAGGAGGAGGAGGAGGAGGAGGAGGGCGGCGGCGGAGGAGGTGGGAGGAAGAAGGCGAAGAAGGATTTGTTTGAGTTTTTGCAGGCGGAGGCGGAGACGATTTTGGAGAAGCTGCATAATTGCGCGGAGAAGGACATTTCGCCGTTTATTAATGCTGCCGGCGGCGGCGGTGGAGGAGAAGAACGAATGGTGGAGGAATCGGAGCGGAAGGAGTTTTTCGAGTACAGGTTGAAACTGCAGGGGCTGACGAATACGACGGGGAATTCGTTCGAGCGGCTGGTGAGTGGATTGGAGAACGGGTTGGAGGATTGAACACGGGTGAATAGTGATTTTTTAGGTAACAACGTTGTTTTTTTTTTTTTTTAGGGTTGGTAACAACGTTGTTCTCATTGTTAATTTTGAGAATTTGCTATGGTTATTTTGTATATTTAATCGATATTAATTTAGATCGTGGATAAATAAAATAATTTATGTAAGGTTAAATTCAAGAAATTGGTGGGTTAATTATTTTCAACTTACAAGGTCAAGTTTTGGGGATGGTCTTTACAGATCATATAAATATAAATTTATCACTTATCTTCAATTCAAACCAATCGATACGAGTGTGGATGAAGCTGATTATATATGGCACGCAAAGAGTAGAGCAGTTGATGGAATTTGTTTGCTTAATCCAAATCAAAATGCATACACTTAGTAGAATGAAAATGAGCGTAGTATTGTTATTTGAAATGTATAGCTTTTTTAGTAGACTTTGAAACAAAAATATGTATTGACTTTTCAATTTGATTTTCTCAATTATCATCACATATAATTTTTTTAGATTTTTTTGTGTCATTTTGAAACACAAATAGCACTTTTAGAACAAAAAAAATATAATTTTAATTATCAAAATACATCCCTCGTGTATAGACATGAAATTAAATGTTGAACGATGGCTAACCCTAATATTTATTAGCGAACTTAAGTCCATCTTTATACACACATTCCATAAACAATACTGCACAAATTTATTTATATAAATATATTATTGTTTTTTTTTTTTCAACAGATCATTTCTATTGCACAACTTAACCCAATGATACAATGATAATGTTCGAACGCTATGGAAATCAACGTAATACTTGTCCAAAGCTATTAACCAACCACAAATCAAAACCAACATAACCCAAAGGGAAGAATTAAAGGGTCTTCTTGGCTAGGGCTGTAAATTGTTTTGACCTGCCCATGAAGGACCAAGATATAGAACTGACCGCCTCGTCATGTTTCCTTCTTGACCCTGTCTGATCGGAGCAGGTTGATGGTTTGGCCCTAATAAACATACTGATTTTAAAAACTTACATTTGGTACCAAATTATTTTCTTATAATTTAGTACCTAAAATTTATTTTTTTACAAAAAGGTCCATAAAACTTGACGTTAAAATTATGTTTTGGTACCCACTTTTTTTTACAAATTAGTACCGAAACTTTTTCAAACTTGACAAACAGATCCAATGTGTTGGTATGAAAAATTTCAAGACTAGTTGTTGCTAAGGCTCACAGGATCAAAAGCTGACCCGCCCCTAAGTTGACTCGACTCTTACGAGGTCAAAAGATAACCCGATCCTAAACTGATTCTATAGACAAATTGATCCAACCCGACCCTCAGAATCAGGACGGATCAGTTGGTTTTAAAGGTCAAAATTACACCCTATTACTGGCCACTCGATGTGCAATCCATTTGCAGTACGACCAACAAATTTCACTCGATAACCTGCGCGCCCAAGCTGTCAATATCTTAACCTCCGTCACCACTACACACCCACCACTTAAAAAACCTCGCCCGCATATACCTTATCATGCCTGTAATACATTATTGGGTTAATAACATACATACGGTGAAGGTCCCTAATATTTGAATATTATATATTGAAGAACCTCCTACGAGCTCTTCAACTATGCTCCAAAGTATTGGTGTTCAAGACACAAATTGAATTTGTAATATAAGGTTAAGGGGTCGTTTGGAAGTTGGGAGCCTATGAATATGTATATTCTCACAATGTATGTATTTTAAGTGCCTGTTCAGTTTACATCATAAAGGGATTTGTACAAAAGTGTATTGGTACAAACTTAATTTATACCATAATGTCAAAAAATACAAGTTTGGTTTATACCATAAAAGAACCGGTACAAACTAAATTTGTACCATGAGTCCATGACTGCAAGTTCATTCTCTAACCACAAACATTTTTTTCATAAATCAAACAACCGATACTATAAAATATTGTAAAATTCTTCACCATAATAACAAATCATACTCTCAATGGCGGAGCCACAACCAACCAAGGGAGGTCGGCTGCACTCTCTTAGATTGGCAATCCCACACAAAAAAAAAAAAAAAACACGTAATAATTAACCATGCAAGTAGAGGGATTGAACAGTTGACCTGGCTTGCATTAGAGTACAATTCCACAATTTACAATATAAACTAGCTGTTAAGTTTAGTTATATTAAGAATATTTATTTAAAAGAAGTGACATCCTTGATTGTTTGGATGACGAATATGTTTTAGATATTTTTCGGATTAGGAAAACACGTCGAGTAATGTGGATCATTGTAAAAAATTAGGCATGTTTTTTTTTTTTTGGCAAAATACACCTAAATAGCCACAACTTTATAAATAAAATAATTCAATCAGCCTTTTACTTCTCTTCTAAATCGTCGTTCCCAATCTAGACTCCAGAGAAGTTCCCCGATCACACGCCTCCGCCGGCGACCACCACCCACAGTCTCAATTCTAAGCTTTACTTATAACTAAAAAAAACTAGCTATTATTGGCAAAACCCGAAAGTTGAAGATATACAAGTGTATTTTGCGTTTTAGTTTTGTCAAAGGATTAAAAAACCGTACCGTACCTAGAAAAACCTCCTACCGAAAGCGAAATCGGTAGATGGCAGTTAGCCGTATCAAACAGTTGAACCACGATTAAACAATGATTTCAGCATAAAATACTCTATCACTAATTTTTTCGGTACAATCTCTGATACGATTTTTCGATCCTTGATTTTGACCCACCTTGTCAATATTCATGGCTACGCCACTGCATACTCTCATCTTAGTTGTTTTTTTTTATCCAAGATAAGCCCCCAGGGCCTTGGCCGAACAAATATATAAAACTTATAATAATAAAGAACGTTAGCTCGTATGCAACCGGACTCCTGATAAAAGAGGCTTTTTTGCCACGAGGTGGGCAGCTCTATGAAAACTCCGAAGAGCTAAGACGCGAAACTGACACAGGGAGTCGAGAAGAGAGAAATAACTTTCCTTAAAATATCTGACTTTAGAATGGGAAGACTTCCTAGATGTAACTACTCGAAGGCAAACCCAATCAATTATTTCTCTTTTAATCAGCGATAATTAAGAAAATAAATAAGTTAGTAAATAAGATTCCATATCTTACCTCGTAAGTCAACAAGTGAGACATTACCGGAGGAAGGAATTTAAATTAAAAAGGAAATTTGCGTACATGGCATCGCATGTCTCGCCTCGGAGCTAAATTCGGAGACAAGGCGAACTTTGAAGGCGGCGACTGGAGGAGAGCATGGAACCCCAGGACTCCGATCGCCACCACATCTGAACGTAACCTTGGCTCCGCCGAAAAAACAAGAGAGTAACCGGAAAAATGAACAAACTTATATTCAAATATATATCTTACTTTAACCCAAATCCTGTCGGAGGGAGGGAGCCGGAGATGGAGTTGCCGGAGAGATCCAGCGTGACGATGTACGACAGCATAAACGTATCTCGCTCGTAGGATCAGACAAAGTTTCTTACTATGTGTTCAGTATAATGAGACTAAAAAATCATATATGTGAACACTTTTTTTTATCATTTTCTGCTTATCATTCGAAAGAGAAATTAAAACCTAACCATTTGGGTTACAAAATTCACGAAAAAATGATCTAATCTAATCTTCAAATGAGCCAAAAAGTTGGCCAATTCGTTATAGATAGCTTGTTGATGATTGATTCGAGAGGCAATCCGTTTTTTTTATAGGAAAACCTATATTATTTCTTCAAGTGGTAAAAATATTGTAACCCACACTTCTGTTTCTTCCCAACCACGGGCGGTATGGGCCATTAAATGAGCAGCCTTGTTGCTGTTTCGGCCCGAGAAGCCCACTTGAATCAGTTCCATATTACTCAGGTGGTCACGTAAGTCTTCGCAGAGAACTCCTTCTTCAATCATCAACTTCTCCTCTCTTCTCAATATCTGGGCAACACTCAGACAATTTGTCTCAATTTCACACTGGCCAAAACCATGCTCCACTGCAAAATCAAGACCCCATCTAATTGTCAAACACTCCGTCATTTCCGGTGTCTATTGGACTCGACTCCTCTTCATTGCCGCCAGGCAGAACTTCCCTTCTCGATCTCTTATCGCCATCCCAAACCTAGAACCCTCCCCCTCAAAACATGCAACATCAATGTTAACCTTGAAATCCACAAAAACAGGGGGAATCCAACGATATTCCTTCTTCTCCTTGCCACTTTCTGTCCGCTGCTGATACTCTTGGTATTCCTCCAGCCATCGCTCCTCCTTTATCATTATTTCACATTCTTCAAGTTTTTTCTTATTCCATAACTGACTGTTTCTTTCTTCCCAGATAAACCAGTGAGCCACAAGGAATTTGCTAAGGAGCTCCTCTGAAGTTGTTGCCTGCAGTTCTGCCATCCATTCCTCACTGGTAAGATCTTCCCCCTTCTCGAACAAAGAACAGAGAGAACTAGGTCTCCAAGCTCAACGAACCCACCCACATTCTTGAAAAAAAATGTTGTTGGGTTTCTCTTAATCCACAGAAAGAACATTCGTCACAACCCTTATCAATTAAATCAACAATTTTGCTCTTGTTGGGAGAATGGATTTGATCAATTTCCAAGCAAAAACCTTAACTTTTGGCGGGATGTTTAGTTCCCTGATATGTTCCCAGTTGATGGGAGTATAAAGTTCTCCCAATTCTTCCTCCTATCTAATTGTCCAAAGCTTGTATGTTGATTTTACGGTATAGAGTCCTGACTTCTCCGCCCCCCAAATCCTCTGATCCTCTGCCAGTTCTCTAGGAATAGGGATTCTTAAGATCCTATGTCTATCCACTGGACTAAAGTGTGCTTGTAGGAGAGGAAAGTTCCAGGATCTACTTTCCAAATCCATTAAATCTTCTACTGAAGTGGTAGGGGCAAATTGAGATATAGGGGGTTCCACCTTGTAGTTCGAAGTCGAGGGTACCCATTTATCATGTCATATATCAATTTTGTGGTCGTTTCCAATCCTCCACCTTAAACCTTGTCTGACCACTCATTTAGCCGCTAGAATACTCCTCTATATATAACTGGGATTATAGCCTTCTTCCGCTTCCATAATGTCTATGTTTGGGTGGTATTTAATTTTTAGAACCCTTGCCACAAGCGAGGAGGGGTTTTGAATGATATTCTAAATTTGTTTTCCTAAGAGAGCTAGGTTGAAATCATGTAGATTCCTGAAACCTAACGGCTAGACCTCCAAGAGGCAGTCAGTTTCAATGAACAAAAGTCGAGAGATTGCTTATTGAATACCAATCCGGAGAGATCTGGTTCAACCCTAATTTACTCGGATCAACCAAACTGGTTCTTCTCTTGTGGGCCAACCACGGATCGAAGTATATTCCGCCCCTCAACGCACCGTATCCATCTTCACCGCTTCCTTCCTTCCGACTCTTCGTCAGCCGGTGGGTGAGAAGGGCTCAGGGCAAAAAAAGCGCACCAACATCAACGGAACGGAACGCAGAAAGTGAAGCTTCTTCTTGTTTGGCAACAAATTTCTTTGGCTTTCACTGTACTGTTCCCAAGAATCCCCGACCTTCCTTCCGGTGCCGGAAGCAGAATCGGGCATTTGCCGCCGTCTAAAAAGGTCCATTCTTTTGCCTTCCTTTACCCTTTTTTTTCTGCGTGGCATATAGTTCTCGTAGAGTATTAGACTGCTGGGTAGTCCAATTTTTGCATTGGGTTTAGTCCAACGAACCTGAAACAGCCTGCTGAGTCCGACTCACGAGTCGAACGAATTCCTGTTTTGGCTCAGCAGTGGATGTTCCCTCTCCATTGATCACATTGTCTGCGTGCGAGCTCGCCGACTGTGCCAAAACCCAAGTCAGTTAAATCATGGTGAGTCGTTAGGTTTTCTGAATTTCCCCTCTCCTTACCCTGTCCTGCTCCCTACTTAGATAATATAATGTTTGGTTTCTTTTCCTTTCAAGAATCTGATTGTTTTCTTTGAACTGCATTTGGGCATTGATCAAGCAACGAGACATTAGGAAGTGGCTGATGAAGCCACATGATAAAGGCAACGGCAAAGATGCACAGCCAGCCTCAGCTGATGCAGAGAATAAATCTTCTCCATTGGAGTCCGATCCTGAACCTCCTGTGAGTATTTCCTCTCTCTCTCTCTCTCTGCGATTTGTCTAAACTTTTCAACGTTGGCAAAAGAATGAAATGCGATTTGGGTGGTATTAGATTAGGTTATGCAATGGGTTTAGCTTCAGCATTTTGATTCGTAATGTCACTTTAGATATGTTTGCAATTTTCCGTCCAGGCAGTGTCAAAGCTACCAAAATTACCTCTTTTTATGATGAAGCAAGTGTTTGTCTACTGACGGTTTTATTGGCTACCCATTTAGGTGAAGGTTGATCAGCAAAGTGCAGGTAGAAGGAAAACCAGCAAATACTTTGCGGATAAACAGAAGCCGAAAGAGGAAAAAGAGGTGGTGACAACCCCAGCAAAGAGAAAGGCTCAGGGTGATGGTAGTCCAAATGTGAAAACAACACCTCCTAGGAAGATGCAGAAAGTTAATGATGACGATGAAGATGATGATGACTTTGTGGTGCCACGTAAAAAGGTCACAGCTGAGGCCACCCCTAATAAGAAACTGAAGAGTGGGTCTGGCCGGGGGGTCAGTCAGAAGGCTATAGAAATTGATGCGAGTGACGAAGATGAAGGTGAGGATTCTAAACAGCCTCCTAAGGCTGGCGGAAGAGGTCGTGGTGGTAGAGCGGCAGCTGGGCGTTCAGCTGGTGGACGAGGAAGAGGGGCTAGCCAGAAGGCTTTAGAAAATGATGCGAGTGATGAGGATGAAGCTGAGGACACTGAACAACCTCCTAAGGCTGCTGGAAGAGGTCGTGGTGGTAGAGGTCCAGCTGGGGCTTCAGCTGGTGGAAGAGGCAGAGGTGGTGGCCGTGGTGGATTTATGAACTTTGGTGAAAGGAAAGATCCTCCACATAAAGGAGAAAAGGTGCAAAGCATTGAAAAGATAAAGTCTTTTGTGCTGTTAGTTATGAAGTTTGATCCACTTACACATTTGGGTTTTTTTATTATTGTTTTAGGAAGTCCCAGAGGGTGCTCCCGACTGCTTAGCTGGTTTAACTTTCGTAATAAGTGGCACTCTTGATAGGTACTCACTCTTATTTTCTGTAGGTCACAGTCTGTTTTCTGAATCAGAGTTAGCTCCTTATGCTTGTTTTATTTGTTAAACTAGCACTCTTGATAGGTACTCACTCTTATTTTCTGTTACTCACAGTCTGTTTTCTGAATTCAGAGTTAGCTCCTTATGTTTCTATCATTCATTAAAGCGTCCATAGTTTCAAAGATTGTATGTTTGGTGTTACGGTTTGTATTCTTTCTGCTTCTCATGATTGGTTTGTCTGTCATCAAATTTGCATTGTTTACAGTTTGGAAAGAGAAGAAGCGGAAGATTTGATTAAACGCCATGGAGGTCGCATTACTGGATCTGTCAGCAAGAAAACGGTCTTCCCCTTTTCCATTTTGACAGTGTTTCACTTTGTAGTCATATCGCCATGTTATTGATGATCCTCATTTGCAGAGTTTCCTTCTGTGTGACGAGGATATCGAGGGGCGAAAATCTGCCAAAGCTAAAGAGCTTGGGTATACTAATTTCAAAACTGAATATCGTACTTTTGTTTTCCAAGTTTCTGACCCTTTCCAAGTTTGCCTGATTTGAGGGCTACATGTGCAGCACTCCATTCCTTACGGAGGATGGTCTTTTTGATAAGATTCGCTCATCGAAACCTGCAAAGGTGCCAGCAAAAGAAGTGCCAAAGAGTTCTGTGGAGAAAGCTTCACCCCTCCCCAGGAAAAGTCCTCAAAAAGCAGAAGTGAAGGGTATGATCAGATATTGGAATTCTTTTCCTCGATCCTTATACATTTGATTTTTTCAACATGTCTGTTTCTTAGCACTGGACGCATTGATGTTTTCTGTCATTCACCTGTATGTATATAATATTTGTACCACAAAAATTGTTCTGCCTCTAGATAGGCAGAATGTGGAACTAACTTATGCCTTGAGGATGGTGCTTGTTATGATGGTTCTTAATGTCTAGAATTTTTGACAGTTTGGTACCAGTAACTGCCTTAATGTTTTCTTGCAGTGATGTACTGCACATGTTGCTTATTATATCTGATTTAGATTGGTCCACTTGCCCATTGTGTTTGTCGTATTAAGAGGGTTAAAGCGGAGTTAAGGTGAATGAAGAAGATGTTAAACCCTATATTTTATTTCTGGAATCAAACTAGAAACCCTGGTGTTATCAGCGTGTCTCTCCTATTCATGCTTGCGTAAAGCTACATGTTCTGCAGTTGAGTGGTTTATGTGGTCTCAAGATGATGTTGCTTATAATTAGTTTACTGTCATTTGTGCTTGACTTGATGAATGAAAGAGGGGATTCTTTTCTCCCCTGTTCTCTCTCTAAATCTTTTTTTGGGTGGCGATCGGGGATTTTTTCCTACTTTGATCTGCTTATGGTCAACTTCTTGTACAAAGCACTAGTTAATTCTTTTTTCCTTTTCTTGTTTATAGGTAAATCTGTAGCACATTGTTCTGCTGATAAGGCTTCAGCCAAAGCTGTTTCTCCTGCAAAGAAAAGGCAAACCATTGAGCACTCCTCACTGCCATGGACCGAGAAATATAGGCCTAAAGTTCCGAATGACCTAGTTGGAAATCAATCTTTGGTACAGCTTTTTTATATAAGATGTGTGCATTCGACATGTCTCTCTATATGATTGGTATGATGATTATCATTCTTCTAAATATGCATAGGTTAACCAGCTTCATACTTGGTTAAAGAGCTGGAGTGATCAGTTCCTTGGAAATGGAAAAAAAGTAAAGGGTAAAAACCAAAATGATTCTAGTGCCAAGAAAGCCGTGTTACTAAGTGGAACACCGGGAATAGGGAAAACAACGTCTGCAAAGCTGGTCTGTAAGATGCTTGGTTTTCAAGCAATTGAGGTGACTTATCTTTCCCTATCGTATTCCTATTGAACTATCAACCTTTTCTGTTTATTCCTTTTAAAGCCAGCTTAATTTTCGCATCTTATTCAGTTTCTTTATCTGATGCTTAGGTCAATGCAAGTGATAGTCGCGGGAAGGCAGATTCCAAAATAGTCAAAGGAATTGGTGGAAGCAATGCAAACTCCATAAAGGAACTTGTCAACAATGAATCTCTGGGATCTAGAATGGACAGGTTTATCCTATTCTTTACAATCACAGTGTGGAAGATGTATTGTTGTGCCCTCCAACCTGAGATTTATTATTTTCAAATTGTAGGCTACAACATGAAAAGACAGTTCTCATCATGGATGAGGTAGATGGGATGTCTGCAGGAGATAGAGGTGGTGTGGCTGATCTTATTGCTAGCATAAAGATCTCCAAAGTGCCTATTATCTGTATCTGTAACGATCGATACAGTCAGAAGCTAAAAAGTCTTGTAAATTACTGCCTGCCTTTGAACTTCCGCAAACCTACAAAACAACAGGTTATGCATTTTTTTTACTCTCCATATTCTGGTTTAGCTACTGTTTCTTAAATTTTGTTATCTTATTCTTGGATTATCTAGACTTTTTGAAACTAGATGGATGTAATATTTGGAGGATCCATTCTGTCCTTAAGCATGTTGGGTCTCCATTGGAAATCTCCTGTTTCTTACTTAACCTTTGCCCGTCATGCTTGGCCTTTCTGTTGGACTCACGTTTTTTGGTACATTGATAGATGGCAAAGAGGTTAATGCAGATTGCAAATGCCGAAGGACTTAAAGCTGATGAGGTAAGTGCATCCTATGTTGCTCTTTGAATTTATTCTAGTGTTGCTATCCAGTGATATGTCAATGTCCATTTTCAGGGAGATTAGATATGGCTTCTGCAAGTCTATTTTTGACTAGGCATTTGGATACTTGGTCAAACTCCATTTTTTCTATATCAATTTTGTTACCTCGCTGCTATTTGTCGATAATGTGGTCACAAGTCTCATTTGTTATTGACATGTGTTCCTAAGAATCAATAAGCAGTTCTTAAATTTTCATCTATCAATTCTTGTTGATTTCACTTAATGTTGCATTTAACTACTGCGTGGCTTTTCTCTCTTTGTGGCTCTACCTGCTTTTCTTTATCAGATCGCCCTTGAGGAACTCGCAGAAAGAGTGAACGGAGACTTGCGGATGGCAGTAAATCAATTGCAGTACATGAGTCTTTCCATGTCGACTATTCAGTACAGCGACGTGAAGCAACGCCTTCTAAGCAGTGCAAAGGATGAAGATATCTCACCATTTACAGCCGTCGATAAGTATGTGTTTCATGCTCCTACTTCACCTAAATGGTCTGATGCTTCACCTAGACGGTCTGATACCTTTGGTTGAAATCCTCTCTTTTAGCTTAAGCATGTGAAAAGGATGGCACCAATTTTCCAAGCCTTTTCTTTTATTACATCTTTTGTTAACTAACCTTCAGACCTAGTCTACCAAGAGGTTTTGCAATTCACCATGGAGTGTGCAGTCTTGGTAGAATTGAGTGCATGGTCGGGCCTCTTTCTTGAGCTTGTCCGTTAATAGCAATTTGTTCTCCATTACCGTATTTATTTTGTTAGGAACCTAGCACTAACTCACTGATGTTGGATTTAGGCTGTTTGGCTTTAACGGAGGGAAGCTGCGAATGGATGAGCGGATTGACCTCAGCATGAGTGATCTAGATTTGGTCCCTCTTTTAATTCAGGTATCTGTATCTTTAACTATACTTGGTGAGAATATATATGATGTCTCATGACCATACATAAGATAATGTATGTATCAGGACCATGCCAAATCAAAGGTAGGTAATGGTGTGAGACATTCTTAGCTGCTTCTGGAAATGTTCCAGTTGAGATGTTCTTGTGAATTTAAATTCCCGTTTCGTATCTGAGGCCTTTTAAGGAGTCTTCTTTAATTTTAAAACATTTCCAGATGAACTCGTATTTCTAGCTTTGTTTTTCGCATTGAAATTTAAATCGCAAGGAATTGAAACTTGGTTGAAGTTGGTCAATGAGATAAATTAACTACATTCAAATTGACCACTTTATATGTAGTCAAATACTTGCAGCTCAGAAATCCTGTTTGTTATTGACAGGAAAACTATATTAACTACAGGCCTAGTGTTGCTGGGAAGGATGAAAATGGGATAAAACGGTTGAACTTGATTGCTCGTGCTGCAGACTCGATTGCAGATGGCGATTTAGTAAATGTACAGATCCGAAGACATAGACAGTGGCAGCTCTCCCAGGCCAGCTCCCTAGCATCTTGCATCATCCCGTATGTCACTTAAATATGGCTCTAACAGTTGTTTCTTGACTTTGTTTGGTCTTCTCTTGGAAAGTGTTACATTATTTGTTGATTTTCCCTACCAGTGCTGCATTATTACATGGGCAGAGGGAGACCCTTGAACCGGTAAGTCTGTGTCTTGCCACTGTAGTACGGCAGCCTAATTATTATTGTATTTGCTTGTAACTGGATCTATTTGCTTTTTCAGGGGGAAAGGAATTTTAATAGGTTTGGAGGCTGGCTAGGAAAGAACTCAACTATGGGAAAGAATGTGAGACTATTGGAGGATCTACATGTTCATCTTCTTGCATCTGGGCAATCAAATATGCGGAGGTAAAAAACTTGTAGCAGTTTGCAGCTACTATGTTCTCTTTAGTTTGTTTTAACCATGTTAGACATTGTAGAGTGCCTAGTCGTTCTGAGGGGTACTATTGATATTTAAATGTAGTTTCTGCTATTCCCGATGATAATTGTTTATAATTTTTTTAAGCAACATAATCTAAATTATTAAATGACTGATGCTACCAGGGGTGCTCTTCGGCTTGATTATATTACGCTTCTCCTGAAACAATTGACTGATCCTCTGCGAATGCTGCCCAAGGTGTGTGCTCTCTCTTTCTACCTTTGTTTTTTTTTGTTGTTGTTGTTGTTGCTATTCTACTGTGAAGGAGTGAAACATGTATCTAATCCCGCAATCTTTCTGAAACATGATCCAGGATGAAGCAGTAGATAAGGTTGTGGAGTTCATGAATGAATACTCAATAAGTCAGGAAGACGTGGAGACAATTATCGAGCTGGCTAAATTTAAGGTAGGCACCAACTACTTTGTTGACGTGCTCGAGCTTGATTATTCTTATTGAACTTATAAGATTCTTACATATTATTGGCATCTTGGATCAGGGGCATCCAAACCCATTGGATGGTGTTCCATCGGCCGTTAAAGCAGCTTTGACGAGAGCATACAAAAACAGATCAGGATTGGTACGCGCTGCAGATATGGTCCCAGTCCCCGGGATTAAAAAGGGCCCTAAGAAGCGCATTGCAGCAATGTTGGAACCATCTGATGAAGGTTTAGAGGAGGAAAATCTTGATGCAGTTGATGCGACCGATGAAGAGAACTCTTCTGACACGGAGGATCAAGGTAATTTATTATATCGTCTTTTTCGTGTTTGTTGTCGCTATCAGTAGCCCATTGCTAGCTTCATATATTTGTTGATCGAGAAGTTATACATGGCTGCCAATCCTGAACTGACTTGAGTGTTCTTCATGGCCATTTGCCAGAAAGCACTCTTGATGGGGCGAAACTGCAGAGTAGCCTGCAAAGTTTAAACTCCAAAGGTGAGTGAACCAGTTGGACAATGGTCGTTTTTCAACTAGTCCATTTTCAAAGTATTTTCACCTAGATCAACTGAGCCAGATTTCTTAAGATTTTTACATCTGTGATGAACATTGATGGAATTGCTCTGTTATTTTCTGCCTCGCGTGGATATATATAACACAGGAATAAAAGTTGAGATGGAACTGAAGGGTGCCCCTAATTCAAATGGGAAGAAGAAAGCGGGAGGTCGAGGTAAAGGGGCATCGGCTGCTGGTTCAGCAGAAAAGAAACCTGCAGGTAGGGGAAGAGGTGGTGGGTCGGGTTCTTCTGGGACTAAGAGAAAGAGATAGTTAAGAGCTACACCGAAGATTACCCGTTGAACACACTACCGAGTCCATGCACTTCTCTACAAGTTGGATGTATAATTGCCTATTTGGTAACTTGCTGGTGAACTGTAGATGCATCTGGCATTGCATTGTTCGCCAGACCGAGTTTTCACACGTTAGCCCTTGCTCTTACCCTAGACTGCAAATTAAAAGAGCTGGTGTGTAGCTGCGAATCAAAATTTTCCGCTGCCTAGTACGGAAGAAAGGGTAAATAGTTTGCCAGTTGGATAGACTTTCTGGTTTTGGTAAGCTCTTTAGGTGCAAGCATTGGTTGTTCGCTTAGCTTCTGTACCTTGTTTCTGCTTATTGAAGTGTGTTGGGACTTGGGATGGAGCTGATCTAGGATTGCACATTTTGCTTGAAACCTACATGTTCCTAAAGAGTCTCAACACAGACACTTTGATGGCTGTTCATAGATGTCGTTGGTTACGGGTTAGAACTAAAACCACGACCATATCGGTTAATCTAGTAGTAACCACAGATCCTAACTATAGTGAAAAAGAGGCTCTTCGTAAGTTTCGTCCTATAAGATCCAATAAACGCGCCAAAGCGTACCTGAACCTGATAGACTGATGTAACGATGTTATCCACCATACGAGTTCCTAAACTTATACCACAAGAAATAATCACGAGGTTAGGCAAAGGACCACCATGCCTTAATAACAGCAACGAGCGTAGGACTGAAATGTTGAGAATCGTAGTTTGGGGGTTCAATCGTTAAGAGGTGAAAAAAGGGATGGCTGATTTGTACTTTATCGTTGAGGCAAATAAGCCTGCAAGTGGAAAAGGCCATCTGGAGAGTGGAGACCGGCAATTCTGCACAGCGGCGTGGTGGTTAGCTCTGTGATTGAAGACGGAAGAGAAAATCCGAAGGAGAGAGGAGGAAAGCAGACGCCGCAGTAGAAGAAAAAGCCATGGGAGATTCTGAGAAATCGTTTCTGATCAGGCAGTGGGATGAGTACAAAGGGTTCTGGGCAGAGAGGTTCTCGTTTCTAGACAACTACTCGAGGTTCGTCAAGCGCGACAAGCCCCTCCCGTCTTGGTCCTCCGATGACGTCCAAGAGTTCATCGCTTCTGATCCCCATCACGGCCCCACTGTAAGTTCTATCTCTCTGATCTCTCTTTTCCCCCCTATTCTCTTCCGATTGTTGGCGTCGTCGAATCTCATTTTGCATAGTTCCTCAGCTGTCATCGCGCTTGTTCCGTGATCTAATTTAGGGATACGGTTTCCTCCTTTTCTTATCACAGTTTCAAGTAATTTGGTCGAAGTCTTTAGTGGGGAAACTCATTGATTGAATAGGAGATTATGCGGGATTCCTGTTTCGTGTTCCTTAATCTGATATGGAACTACTGATAATGGTAGAGTAGAGTATTACAAATAGCTTTTGATGATGGAAATGTAACGAGGAGTTAGGAGATGTATTGCTTGTCTCTTACAAAATTTCGTTTGATGCGTTTGTTATTGCTCCTGCTGTTCGATGAACTCTCAAATTTGGAGGGTACTGGTTAAGAGTAGAGATATTGCTTCCCTCATTTGCTGTATGCAGTCTATGTCAAGGAATCTTGAAATCGTACGCATCTGACAAGGACGTTGTCGTTCAGATTGACGATTTCATAACGTTATGACTTATTAGAACAAGTTTGGCCGAGCTTGATCTGTTTTATGATGCAGAAGAAGACTCTGTTCTGTATCTTTTGAGTAATGGCTATACACCTTTATATGAAAAGCGTATATTCTTTCGGGGGGATCATGTGCTTTGGTTTGCTAAATCTCCTTACGTTTACCTGTCAAAGGGAAAAATTAAGCAGCTGACCATTTTGATGCAGTTGTTTTACCTGGTATTTTATGTTTGCTTCAACCATCAAAAATTCAAAAGCACTAGTTTTAACTCTCCTCTGGTGTTCCTATTTCGTATCCGTAAAAATGCATCAAGTCTGCTTAACAGAACCCATGAGCCGTCTGTTTCTTTTACTCTTCTGCTTGATTTTTTCCTTCAAATCATTGGTTTCTACACTGTTCCTGTAAACTTACGTTATGAAAATGCATGGTAAATGAAGAGTTGTTGATCTTTTCAGCTGAAGACTGCTAGAGAAGCAGCATCCTTTGGTCTGACTGGAAGTCTTCTTGGAGCAGTATCAACTGCTGCTTTCGCCTGGAAATACTCAAAGAGCCCACATGGTAAGCATGTGCACATTTTATGATAGTGAATTACCAAAGCTGTTCATCTCCTGGTGATAGTTAGTCTTGGTATAGGGTTGCACTACATCTGCTGCTCTCTTGGGGCTGTGAATGGAAGGTTGAAATAACAATGATGTAGTGAAAGCGGATTAGGCTTTCCCCCGGAGTTCATATATGGATGCGCTAGGTTTCTCAGCCTCTTGTACTAACCTCCTTTTCCGCAGGTGCTGGGCTGTCCTTCATTGCCGGCGGTGCGTTTGGTTGGACATTTGGTCACGAAGTCGCTAACCACTGGTACCAGCTTTACAGGATGGACACTATGGCCGCACAGGTCAAGTTCTTGGAATGGTGGGAGAAGAAATCCGAAGGGCACTCGTAAGATTTCAGAAGATCCCGATCCCCAACATCCATCGTTTTCCCCTTCCCCCCCGTGTTTTGATTTTGAAAGATCCTGTAACTGTTGATTGCTCTCTCTTACTGAAGATGTTAAGGGAACCGGAGAGGCTGTCGCCTTCTCTTTTTCTGGAGTCCTTTCTGTAGGATTGTTGAATGATAACATTGCAGGCTGTTGCGGGTTGGATTTCAATCCGTCGTAACAGTAATAATAGTAATAGTTACAGGTTGGTTTTTTTTTCTCTCGCTGGTGATGAGATGGCAATTTCCTGGGTGGTGTTGAGGGTTTTCATCATGCTGTTATTATTTACTATCAAATTGAATTTCAAGAATGTCTTATTTATTATCAACTTCGTTCTAAAATCTTGTGTTGAGATCGACTCCTAAAGAATGAAATAGAATTTTAGTGTGTTTGAAATAAAAACATGTATTCAATTGTGGGATCGGAAATCCCAAGTTTTAGGCCCAATCGATCTCCATTGCCCAACTTTTATCCATTCCAAACAAGGCAATAAGAACTTTGAGTTTTGCTGGTTGCAAACAACCTATAGGCCATAAGGAAAAGTCCATAAATGAATATCCAACCTTCAAGGGTCTAAATAATCTTTAATCATCTCATAACTCAGAATTTTTTACAAAGTACACATTGTTAATTGAAGCCAACTTAGATTATGCCGAATTTGGCTATGAAAAAACTAGAACCAACTCGGATATGGTGCTCAGGCGGCTTGAGAGAGCATGCTCACAAGGCACCCAGTCGTCCGAGCTTTCAACACGTGATTCAACAACCATGTGTTTTTGTGAGCACGTTCTCATAAATGTGTTGCGAGCATAAAAGCAAAATTGAACTAGAGCGATCGAATAAATAGAGAAAGAGGTGAGGGAAAGGGGGACAGGAAACGTGCCTCAGCCTCAAAGTTCCACTGCACCATCAAAGAAGCATCTATGACAGCATCAAAGTGACAATTTAAGGTACATACTATTATTATATATAATCCTCGCAGTGAGTCTAATATACAATGATGATAAGAATCTATCTTTATATATATATTATGTGTAATAGGTATGTCTTTCCCAGTCCAAATCCAGAATAGCCTTTTCTTTATTCTGAATCATGAAGCTCTTTCTCTATTGATCAATCAACAATTGCACTCAAACCGATCCATCCATCCGATGAGATTAGTCCACAGATATCCCTTATCTGCAAAGGAGAATTACACAAGGTGACGATCATAGACCACATTTTTCCAGGGATCAATCACATTTTCCCATTGCTTCATGGCAGGATGCTTTGGATGATCCAGTAAGCCATCGATTTTATTAATCCATACGGGAGCATTATAACGATGAAATCATATAGTTGTAGCATGCTCAGGCTAGAGTCAAAGAGAGTGGAGACCGTACATACCTGATCTAACTGAAATCCTTCGAGTTGAAGCAATTGCTGAACCTTTATCAATTTGTACCAGAAGCAGCAGCAGGTGGAGCATGCATATTGATGCCGGTGCCAGTACCAGCTAGAATGCCTTCATCGCCGCCAGCTTCTGATATATGTTCATGGTTGTTTTCTTGGGCTGCATTATTATCCACCTCTCCGTTTGATGCCGAAGAAGTGCTTGTTATTTCTTCTTTCTCTCTAGAATCCAGACGCTCCATCATGCGAGAAACCGTTGCAATTCCGGCATTAACCTCTCTTCTAACATCAGAACTGAGGTCTGCCATTGCAGTGTTGCGTGAAAAGAATCTCTCCTTCCAACCCCTTGTGCTCTTCGATATTGATTCCTTATATCTGAAACGAAGAAAAAAATAGTTGAATTTACCAATCACAATTACCACCCTTATGAAAATGCAAGAAACGAGGCTTAATAAACGTACCTCATTGAAACTGCATTAAGCTTAGATTTGATGGAATCTGAGATGGACTGGAGTTCAGATGGCCCGGCTCTGTCTTGACTATCTGGCGAAGACTGACTAGGAGATCTAGAGAGAAGACACAAGTTAAGTTTAAAGGCTGTCAAACAGAAGGACGATGGTAACTTCATTGGAGCCTTGACAGAGAAGAAAGCACAACAAAGCAGTACCCAGTGTTTGGGGAAGTTCTATGTTGGCTGATGACAACACCAGAGCCAGAAGCGGGTGAGCTAGTATGGCCACTTCTTGATAATGGTGTAGCCACTTGGGGAGATGCTTCTCTACTATTTGGAAGGGGAGAAGAGTCACCAACACCTCTGACCGGAGAAGATGGTGCCGCTAGTGTAGCCATTGAACCCGGTTCAACCTCTCCTCTCTGAGTTGGGGAAGCGCCAGTTGGACCAGTGGCTGGCCCATTATGATGACTAGAAAACACTACATATTGTGGACGGCTTTGAGATGATGACCTATGTCGGGAACCTTCTCTTCGAGAAACATGACGTCGTCCCATTGCAGCAGCAGCAGCCAGGTGCTGAATTATACGCTCTTCAAGTTCAGCTTCATTTATACCAACTGGCAGCTGAATTGGCAAAAGAACTTAACTTTAGAAAACTACACATTGGATAAGTTTAATAGCATGAAGAAGTTTACTCAAGCCGGAACTGAAGTAGAAGGAGATGAAAGTTTATGCAGGTGAGATACACACATGTTGCAATTCGAAGTCCCCCAGAGTTGGATGATGAAATATGGCAGAATTCCTAGGTGGATTCAATCTCATATTTCTCTCACGTTCTACAGCTTCGAGCAGTTCCTGACTGTTATAGAAAAATCAAAATCAGCAATTGCTTCCCCATTGTCAGTAATTCAAGGATGATATAAACAGGAGTTTAGGAGATGAACCTGGTTGGATCCTTCAGGGAAATAGATTGCCAACACATTGGGCACTGGGAGCTTCTTTGGCACCTGATTTGGATATAAGGTTGCAACTTAATACTTTTACCAACTAAAAGAAAAACAGAGTGCATTTGATCTTTAGCACTTCCGATCGAAATACCAGATACCCACACCAAAAATATGAAAACCAATAAATCACATAGTTTAGTAGAAGGGCTTTCTACTTGAATGTCACCCAGGACATCAAAAGAGGTTGATGAGCACATTAATTAGGGAAAGGCTTTCCCATTTGATCATCACATGGCAAAAATTGCAAGTCTTTACAATACAATGACTACCAAATATTATGTATAAAATCTGAGGTCAAAGAAGAGGATAGGCTAACAATAATAGTAATATGGTCAACGGTCATTCGGAACTTTGAATGATCTCTACTGACATTTTATGAGAATACATGCATTTCATACAATACAATGTTCTTCAGAATAAAACATCCCGTCAATTCATGTCTTTGGAGTAGATTCTACAACCAATCACATTTCTCTCTCACAATATCAATATATCATTCAACAGATTTATAGAGCACATAGCTCTAGGATCCCAAACCGCTGCTATAATAAATTTACACAGGAGGGCAGTTTAATAGCAACTGAACACTACCATTGCCATCATCACGAGTAGAACTTTTCACCTGAAGCATCAAACATGGGTCGCATACCATAACACTAACTTCTTTCCTCAAATCAACAGTGTAGTTTAAGTTTTGGAGTGATAAAGTCTAGTTATCAGGAATCGAACTCCCATGCCATCATGTAAGAGACATTCAGTGAGATGTCGGTGGGAGCTCATGATAAACGCAGGCTTTAGACCCGTCCACTTTCCAATAGCGTTTCACATATGGACTAATAGAATATATCTGAGACCTATCACTAATATAAATGCCTCCCGCAAGACTGTAAATGTAGCAAATAATCTGACCACGGAAATCAAAATTCGAGGGTTAAAATCGACGCACCATTCAAGGACGCATTGAAGATGGAACTCATGCTTGCAAGTGGTCAGCTGCAAAAGAGAATTAAGGCCCCAATGAGAGGATGAGAGAAATAAAAAACAAGAAAAGCTCGCTTCAAGTAACAGTAACAGCAACAGCAAGTAGAAAGGTGTATAAAAGAAGAAACCCCCTAGTAGTGCCTACAGACATACAGTTGATGGATCACTGTCACAAAAGTCTTCAAGACATATGCTGCAAGCATCATCACAGGCATCCTGAATGCCTCCTTCCACGAAAGCCGCAGCAGACGTTAAATGCGCTTCCGGCTTCTTGCTCTCTTCCATTCCCTACAAAACCCAACTCAGAAAGTTTCAACCTTGAATCCGATAACAATGTCCAGGGTATGCAAATTACATTATCCGATCACTTGGATGTCACAAAAATCATCGAACGATCCAAATCTGTATAACTAAACCCTCACTAGACTGAAACTCCAACGAGTTCCCATCTCAATATCCCTCCTTAAATCATGATTACACCACCAATATCAGTCAAAAATTGCCCCTTCCTAACATCTAAGCAGTCCCCATAGAAGGCCAATTTCTCCAGCGAATTCCAGAACTGTTTTCATTCATTCATCCAGAACTAGAAGTAGAGTTCAAAAACGAACTAACAAACAAATGAGCTTCAAATCAATCAGGACCAGTAACATAGATGGCGGAGGAAGAAATTCTTGATCTCATTCAAACAAGCCGGCTGGAAACACAATTCAAACCACTCTCTCACCCTATCCACAACCAGAGAAGCCGCAAAAGAGACCCAATACAAAGCTCGGAAACAGAAAGAAAATATAAAGTGAGCGGAGATGACAACAAGTAGTGAGAAAAAGGGGGGTTTAAGCTATGGTCGTTACCTCCATGGATGATGGTAGTGGAATCCGATCAAACTATGTACAGATCGAGCTTCGGGTTTGCAGTCTGAATATAAATATGTACGCAGAAATAAGAGGACAGAAGAAAAACCCTATAAATCTGATGAGATGAGGAGGAGGAGAAGAGGGGAGCAATTGCTTGTGGAGCTGTGGGTGGCGGGGAGAAGAAGAAGAAGAAGAAGAAGAAGAAGTCTTTGTTCTTGTATGTGTTGATGGGTCTTTCCGAGTTTCTGTGAATTTTTTTGGTTTTTGTTTTGGGGTTTGGATTAGCGTTTTTCTCCTTTCGTCTGCCCTTTCGGTGGTCTGTATGTGTCGTTAACTCGCTATGCGGGTGCGCGTGTGAGTCACCGCACTCTCATTTATTTCGCTTAACTTCTAATCAATTCTAATTGCGGAAATTTATTTAAATCAGACTTTTCAGGTCGGCATTGGGTAGTGGTCGGCATATGCCCGGTTCGGTCAGAACGGTCCAGAATTTCTTGTATTGTATCTTTTCATTTCGAGGCAGTGGTCAACATGTGACCGGTTCGGTCACAAACTTACTATTGAATCGAGATGTCATAGAATGTGTTCTAATTTCTCACTACATTAAGGTATTTCATGTCATACTAATCTTTTCAGAAAGAACATATATAAAATTTATCAATATATATTTAAGTTGTTCTCTTATGACAATGAGAGAATTTAGGCCTTAAGAAAATTAGTTCAAGTTACACGTTGGTGTCATTTTATCGCATCAAATTAACGTTTGTGTCCATTTCCGAATTGTTCGTAAATCGACGGTTACGTCTTGGATCGAATGGTAGTGAATCGGTCCTGCAACAATCGATACCGTAGTTATATCATCTTAAATAGCTACAAGAAAGTAGTAGGAAAGTAAAAAAAATTCTGATGATAAGTATATAATGAATTCAACCCAAACGAATCTTTACCTTTGATTAGGAGTCCTTTTGGATGAGAATCTGAGACACTGTAATGATCAATTTGACCCAATTGTATCAATTTGAGACAATTGGATCAAATTGATCCGTTTACCACCATGAATTTTGGATGGATAAATTTGGAATGAAGAACTTTGTATTGATTCGATCGTATTCAATTCCAATTGTCTCGGATGAGACCGATAATTCGAATAAACTCATTATGAAGGAAACAATCGACTCGTTTCGCTAGGACAGGACTATTGAATGTGTAGGAATAGCATAAAGGATAAGATAGCAGGATCATTTAGTACTTAATTAGACGATCATTGACTGGTAAGAATGAAGTAAAAGGTGGGTTTCCTTAAGCTGGATTGAGTATCCAATAATTTCCAGGTCGATTTTGGTTTGTTTGGATCTTCTCATCCCGGTCAGAGACGGACACAACACAACCAAACCTAAACCGAATAATTGATGAGAAAAGGAAATAATGGTTTTGGAGAGAAGTGTTGTGTGAAAGTGAAGACTAAAGAAGAAGAAGCACCGAGAGGCAGGAACGAGTCCTCCACTCACTGTGGAATCTCCACGTGGCGCCTCCTCTGACGTGTGTTGCTGCTTTTGACGAGTCACTGCCTCTGCTCCAACTCTTTCTGTCTCCGTCTTTCTCTCTCTTCTGTATTAATTTTTTTCTCTCCGTTTTCTTTTTTTCTTTCTGCAACCGGCACCCATACGGCGCCGTCTCGTCTGCCCTTTGCCCCGTTCAAAACGGCCAATCGCTTCGTCTTCAACGAAGAAAACTTCCGGTGAAGTCTGGACTTAGACCAGATTAATTAAATTAACATTTTATTTCCGGCCGCCACCTTCTCTCCTCCGGCTAGACCTAGAACGACGTTCGTTGAATGGAAAACTGAATGAATGGACAATACGACGTAAATGAAGAGCGAGGTGGCCAATTTGAGACAGTGAAATGAACGCTTTTCAATTCTGACGGTGGCGGTGAATGATCAATTGAATCATCAGTGTATTTTAGTTGATGAATCAGATGTTTTGAATTTGACCAATTTTATGATTTTTTATTTATTTCTCGTAGCCAAAAAGAAAAGAATAGTAAATATACGATCACTCCGTGTTGAAAAGAAGCTAAATTATTGAATACTCCACGAGTACAACGTAAACATGCCAATTTGATACTTCCAATCAATAAAAATTCGTCACGTATCATGTCTGCATCATCAATTAATTTATTGGTAAGAAATCTTTTATTGGGATTTTTAATTTCACAATGTCCCATTCACAATTATAACTACTCATTTAGAAAAAGCATCGTGCATCCGACCACAAATTATTATATTTTACATCAATGTGACAATATATAACTATATAAGGTTATCCAATGAAATCACATTTTTATACCGCCGCCGGAGCATCCAAACGACGATCAGCAGCAGCCGGCGAAGAGACCACCGGGGCGACCTTCATTTTCCCGGCGCCGGGAAACTCCCACCGACGACGCCGGCGGACCAGCTTGCGGCAGAACTGGCACGCGAAGAAAACGCAGTAACTGCAGAGCATGGAGACGACGAAGAGCTCGATGTAGAACATGCTCTGGTCCCTGCCGCCGCCGTCGTGTTTGGCGTCGCTCACCGCCAGCCACACCAGGATCCCGGCCGAGGCACCGAACGACACCGTTAGCAGTATCACGCCCGTCGCCGACGGCGCCGGCTCTTCCCCCGCCGCCGCCATCGCGGCCAGGGTCCCGTCGTCCATGTTTAATTAATGTATTATATTGGGGGCGTGGTGTATATGTTGACTAGCTACCGGCCATTAATTATATTAGCATATGTTAGCTTATATATGTTTTTTGAAAGTTACTCGTATTTGTATGAATGTGTAGGTTATTGTGAACATCGATGGAGAGGAATTAGCGGGGCATTATCCATTTAGGATTTTAGGGTACCCTTAGGAAGTTACGGTTTGTGGCAATCTGTCCATGTTTTAAGCATAATTTTAATCGATGAATAAATTCGAAGGTTTGCTCTCGTTTAGGGCCACAAAAAAATGTTTTCTTTTTGTAACTAGTTTATGTTACATGTGGGCTACTTATGAGATGCTTGGTATTCTTGAATAGAACTTTTGTTAAGGACAGCTTAGATGCTATTTAAATGATTCGAATATGGGATCTCCAGATCCAAGACCAGTAGTATTACAACTGTATAAAGTCCTTGTTCAAAAATATTATTATTGAGATTTGAATTCTTGATCTAATTGTCATAAGTGACTCTTCGTGTTGGCATTCCCTCAATGAATATCTTTGAAGCTCATAAATAGAAATAAACTCGATCGTTATATTTTACAGTTGTATGTAGCTGAACATTCAATTTAGTGACAACACCAACATGCATGCAGATAGGGGTGGCTATACGGTCCGGTCCAATTAAATTGAACCAAATTGATCCGGTCCCGGTCCGGTCTTTTCGAGAATATATGGACCAAAGATTGGATTGGATACAGTCCGGTCTTGATTCGGTCCGGTTTTGACCCAGTCCGGTCCCAATTTGATCTTGATTTTAGGTGTTGGGGATCTCTTATCTGGTCTTTATCCGGGTTTTTTTACCTCAAATCTAAGCCCGAATATGAGATTGGATTGTTTGCTATCCGGCCCCAGTCCGGTCGCGGTCCGGGTTATACGGTCCTGTTTTGGGTAAAACCAAACCGTCTGGGACCAAATAGCCTGCCCTACATGCAGAGCTAATGCGCTGACATTAAACGGTTGAGATAGCACTCGTAGTTGCGTCGGCTCTAGCTAGCTAGCTACTTGTTGATGTTGATAACTGATTGATTATGTTGATTTTTAAGATCCTTTTGATTCTCGGTGGTGGCCACCCAACACAATCTCGACATTCATAATTAACATAGATAAGGGAGATTCAACTGCCCACAACTAGTAACAACATGCATTAGGAGTATGGTTCTCATACTGAAGAAATTCAAGTCGAGCATTAAAAAGACAAAACGCATTGACATTGCATACATGACAGCTTTACTTCGATAACATTTAGTCATTTACGAGACAAGATTAACAAAATATTAACAATTGCTCTCATATCTTCTTCTAATTAAAAGAAAACACCGATACGCTTACATAAACGCAATATCACACAAGAATTATGTACCAGAAATTCTTTATTGGGTAGTGATGGTTAGAGCAACGAAGTTTTTCAAAGAGAAAATTCTTAATGTAGAGAGTTTAGGTATCCAACATATCCAAATTACAAAGAAGAGAAAACTCTCACACAAACAAGTTACATGTCATTTTCTTGGAGAAGAGTGAGTTTAACGTCTCCAATAAACCAATCAGCCTAAAACGTTTCCTACACTAAAACCACCAAAAAGAAACCTTTAACTAAACCTCTTAACGAACTAACAAACGTTGATACACGACAGCTAACAACCACTGTGTTATAATTGCATCTTGTTCAACTGTTGATTACTTTCAAACGGGAGGGACGTCGGCCGGGTTCCCGCCGGGGGCGATTTGTCCGATCACCGGAGTGGAAACAGGGGCGATCTGCTTCTGCTGCTTCCCCGCCGGCCGCAGCCTCTTGCACACCTTCCCCACCGCGTTGGAGACGAATATCAACACGTTGCTCATCGCCACCACTCCCACGGCGCCTTCCAGGCACAGCAAATCCGTGCTCATGTCGTTGTCCTTCCGGTACCCTGTCACCGCGAGGCTCATGAACACCGCGGCCACCGTCGAGAAAAACCCGGCCAAGATCAAATCAATCCCGATCGACTTGCAGAACTCCTTCTCCATTGTTGGTTTTAAAAAAACAGATATGGGAGCGAGAGAAAAGAGAAGCGAAGGGGAGGCATATGACAGAATCTGGACATTCGTTTTTAATACGGCTCTGGGTTTGGAATCTAAAGACAGGGGATGGATAGAAATGGCGCCGCCGAGGAAAAATTTTGGAGCTAGAGGGAGTACTTGGCTTTGGGTTTGTCGATGGGAATGGAATAATGAGGCGGAAAACAAACTTATTAGCTGAGAGCTGGCATTTGCTCAAATCAGAACCCATCGGTATCTTCAAACTTTTAACAAGAGAAAAAAAAAACAGGGGAGAAAAAGGAGATGGAAAACAGAGAGGGATTGGTTTCAGAAGTCCACTTGTTCGGAGGAATTCAATATACCTCAAACAACTTGTCAATGCCATCCTTGTAAAAGGAAGGGAATCTGATTCAATGACACACTCAAACTTAAGTCACTTGTATGGGTGTGAAGCTCAGCACAGTCTGGGAATGGAATCGTCGGGAATCAAACAGAAAATCTCTCAGTCACATAAAACTTTAATGTCATGTCAAGAATCATAAGGCTTGAAGTTTTGTTGAGAGAAGTTCAATTATGAATAAATATATCACCTGCTAACACACCTCATCAAATGATTGAAAGTCTTCTCATACGGAGTTGAAGTTTGCACATGTCCAAATGTCATGTGCTTAAAAAGTAGGGGTTATTAGAAGGGTTAATACCTTAGTTTGGCCCGAACTATACACATACTTTCTACTTTGGCCCGTGGTATTGGAAATTGCTATTCTGGCCTGAACTATGTAGCAAACTTCCTCGTTTGGCCTGGAGGCGGGTTTGACCGTCAAATTAGACGGTCAAACCTGTTGACCGTTAGTCAATGTACACCTCACTTGCCACGTCAGCTTTGAGGACATAAAAAATTAAAAAAATGTTCCTGAATTTTGTTTTCTTTCGATTAATAAAATTAATAAATATTATTAAAGAAAAAATTAATTAATCTAAAAAATTAATTAAAAGAACGAGAAAAAAACGAAAAAGCGCCCATTTATACCCTCGCACTCTCACAAAAATCGGGAAAAAGATTAATTTTTAAAATGGGCACTTTTTTCGTTCTTTTAATTAATTTGTTAGATTTTTTTTTGTAATAATATTTATTAATTTTATTAATCGAAAGAAAACCAAATTTAGGAAAAAAATTATTTTTTTATGTCCTCAAAGATGACGTGCCAGGTGAGGTGTACATTGACTAACGGTCAACAGGTTTGACCGTCTAATTTAACGGTCAAACTCGCCTCCAGGCCAAATGAGGAAGTTTGCTACATAGTTCAGGCCATAATAGCAATTTTCAATACCACGGGCCAAAGTAGAAAGTATGTGTATAGTTCGGGCCAAACTAAGGTATTAACCCTTATTAGAATTCGAATAAAAGACCTTGCTATGGTACATATTAAGAACCAATTCGTCCTAGTAATTCTAGTTGTTGGAAGATGTTTAACTATGGATCTTATATCACATACTAACATGCCCCCCTCAAACTCAAGCCACTCATATCCGATGGAAGTTTGCACCGTCCGAGAATAATTGTCGAAAATGGAACAGATAGAAGACTACGATATCAAGTAGGAGATATATGACATTGACAATCATGAATTGATATGATAGGAGGGAGATTTATTTCCATGTCTGGTCATAATTGAATCTGAAATTTCATTGCTTTGCATTTACTTCATGTGAAAATGGAGGACCCAACTTGCGGGAAAATGAATGTGTGGTGGTGGTGGTGGGCAAGAACTTGCCAGTTTCTGGAACTGAAAAAGCCATCCTAACACCGCAAATTCTCCACATTATTATGTTAGTTAAGATGTGGGATTGTTGGTACGTGGGGTTTAGCATAGCATAGCCACACTCTCATTGTTAGTCCATAAAGTGGAAGTTCTTAGGAATAAAAATGAACCAAAGGATTAGTGGGTTCTAAAGTTGTGAAGACCACAACCAGCCAGGCCAGTTGGTAGCATAGGAGGAATCATTCCTCAGTTGCCCCCACATAACTTTGTCAATGCATTTGCTTCCACTTACTCCGTTTGTGATACTAATAATGATAAGCTTAATAATTGAAACCAATATCATATTAGTATGGTCTCCAATATGCTGGAGATCGAGTCGAGATTGCGAAATGTTGGATGTTTCATGTTTATCAATCCACTAGTATCGATATGGTCGAGTCGAGCTTTCAATGATCGCTAACGCCTCAAACACCCACTTCGAAAGCCCAAATTCCAAGTCCTTCCTTCCCATCTCGCAAAGCCAACCCCCGAGACTTAGACTGTATACAACACACAATCACTTGCCAGTTACCGCTTCCCACATTGTCTCTTACCTACCATCCACGCTTTTACTTGTGTACCAACTTGAAACATTCAATTTCAAATTACATGACATTTTCTTCTATATTTCGCATCACAAGACCCAGTCCATACCGAGTAAAAACTGTAACAGAGCCATACCCAAAACTCAATTATGTATCACAATTATCCAATCATACACTACACACACTCCACAAAAGAAAACCATTCATTTCTTCCATTCTCCCTACAAGTTTCACAAAGGGCATAAACCCACAAACAATGTACCACCAATTTACCAAACATTACTATGTGGCCCTTTTTATTGCTTCATGTATAGACAAATAACAATAGAGTAACATGTACAACTTTGGAAGAACTCCACACAACTCTCAAAACCCACCCAAACCATTCATCATCATCATCATCACCAAACAACAACAATCACTCATCTGGCCCACTACACAAAAACCCACATGGACCCACACCACAGTATTGGGCCCCCCACTCGGCCCATTTAACCAAATTTGAACCCACCAAAGTACACATCAGGAGTCAGGACAGTCTCCCTACTCCCTAGATTCATTCATCCATCATTCACCCCATGGCCCTTTGCAAAAATATAAATAAATTCCCCCAAAACAAAATAATATTTCATCTATACACTTGGCAAACAAACACGCCACATCAAATCAATCTCCGTCTTCATCCCAACCGTCCGTTCCCATATCCAATCACCACCGTCCGATCGACGCGCGAGGTGTCCGGTCCAGATCAAATCTCTCTCTGCGACGGGCTCCTCCAGAACCCCGTCCCGTAGAAACGGTCCCACATCTCCTTCTCCAAATCCTCCGCCTCCGCCGTCGTCTCCGCGCCGCCGACGTCCTCGGCGGCGGCGGCGGCGCGTTCCACCAACTCCCGGATCTCCCTCTCCAACTCCTCCCTGGACCGGCCGCCGCCGCTGCTCGTCGTCGGGGCCAGCAGCCCGTGCTGGCTCTGCTGCAGCTTCATCCGCCGCAGCCGCTGCTGCCGCTTCCGCGCCTTCCGGCACAGCCCCGCGGGGACCTTGTACACCGCCAGGACCACGATGTTCATCAGCGTGCAGGGGCAGCAGCAGCACACCGCCACGCACTCCGCCGCCGCGCCTCCGGCAACCTCCCCTGCCCTCCTCGTATGTACCGCGTTTGTCCTATCCAGCCTCCTCCCCCTAATTCCGTCTCCTCCCTCCATCTCCGCCTCGGTCGCCGCCGCGGGTTTCGGGTGCGGTTTATCCGCCAGTAACGGTTGCTTCTTCCGGTTGCGTAGCGCCGCCGCCTGCCGCGCCATTCGATTGAAAAGGGGGAAACTCAAAAAAAAAAAAAAAAAAAAAGGAAGGAAGGTTCGAATCGAATTCTCTCCTCCCTCTGAATTTCAATTTCTCCCCCTCGGAGGCGGTATTTAGTTTTTTTTTTTTTTTGCCTCCGCCGCGAGACTCAGAGAGAGTTGTATTCCGCGGAAATCAAAGGATCGTCCATGGAGGACGTCCTTTTCGTCGCCGGAGGGAATACAGAGGTTTTCGGGAGCGGGGGAAATTGGAAATCAGAGGTAAGGGGGAAAAGAGAGGGGAAACTGGAGATTATGATGATGACGACGATGATGGGGATTGTCTCGAGAGAGACGGATTTCTTTATTGAGATTTACACGGGAAAAACTGAATCCGCGAAAGAGGCGGGTACTGAAATTCTTGCTTCTCCTTGTTATTATATTTTATTTTTTTGGGTTAGGTTAATCATTTTCTTTGTTTTGGTCTGTTTTTTCCCCCTGGATTTGTTTGTTACGGTTAAATTCGAGTTCTGGTGTTGTGCAGACATCTGTTCAATTTTGGGAGTGGGGGGAAAAGTTTCATGTTGGTACCCAGGCAGGCAGGTGGCAGCTTGTGAAATTTTCCTTTCGATGCATGATTTTTACATGTCGTTACAAATGTGTCTGGAAGTTTGTTTTTGGTTTCTTAGAGGACATTTGGAAAGGGTTAGGGTTTCGGATTTTGGAAGATAGGAGTTGGATAACTGTTTACGGATGTTTTTTCTTTGAAGACACGCAAACTCCTTGAAGGTTAAATGGTACAAAAAATTAAGTGAACGGCTATTTGAAGCCAATCAAATTGCTATTTGCCGCAAACCAAAAAAAATTTTGTTCCCTCGGAGACCGGCCGAAAAAAATTTGCGGCCAAAACGCCGCCGGGCCGAAATAATTTTTCGGCTGACCGGCCGCAAGAGTTTTTCGGCCCGGCGCCGCTCTGGCCGCAAATATTTTTCGCCCCGGCGGCGCGCTGGCCGCATTTTTTTTCCGGCCCGGCGAGTTTTTTTATTTAATTTAATATGTTAATTAATTAGTCAATAAAAGTTACTTAATTAGTTATTAGAAATTAGTCTTAAATTTTTTTTAAGTTGGTGTATAAATCCTTTTTTTGTAATAGGCGTATGAATCTTTAATTACTTAGATTAGTTAATAGAAAATTAATTAATTAAGAATTGATTTAACAATTAATGTTAATAGTACATTAGTTAATAGTAAATTAATTAATTAGTGATTAATTAACAATTAATGTTAATAGTACATTAGTTAATAGAAATTTAATTAATTAGTGCGCATCTAAGTATGATAGTGATTTTTTTTTTTTAACAAAAGATAATCATATATATTAGATCAAAAAGATAGTTACATCCTGGAGATCAGCCAGGTCTGAAAATCAAAATGACGGATCATAGCCGGGTACAGAGAAAGGGCCTTCCGAGCCACCAAATGGGCTACCCTATTGGCACGCCGACCTACAAACCGTACAGAAAACCCAGGATAACAGGACAAATAATGCAGCACCTCTTCTAGAATAGCTCCTATCCTGCCATCCCTAACCTCCTTCCGCTGGAGCTTCTCAATGACGATCTTGGCATCTCCCACAAACCGCACGGTAGAGAATCCATGCCCACTGCACCAAAGAATCGCGCTCCTCAAAACCAGCAATTCCACCACCAGAGGATCATCAATGACAGGGATTTGGAAGCCAGTGGCCATAATGATATCCCGATTCCGATCCATTAGCACCATCCCACCTGCAGAATGCGACCCCCTCCGAACCGCCCCATCCCAACCACAGATAACGTCCGAGACCTCCTCCTGGTGCGCATGCTGGCCCTCAGTAGCAGTAGGGCGCGGACCCGTTTTATCCCTCGGGAGGCTCAGCCACTCCTCATACTGTTGCATGAACTGACGCACCAGCGCCTCCACCGTATACTGCTTACCCTCAAAGACCACCCAGCTACGAGATCGCCAAATTCGCCAGAGGACGGCCACCACCTTCATGAACAAAGCAGGGTCCTGGATAAGACTCATGACCTTCTTCAGAAACAAGGGAAAAGAATGACACGGTAATCCTTCCCCGATATGTTCAAGGCCCGCAGCCCCCCAAAGAGCCTTGGCTACCTGGCAACCCCAAAAGAGGTGTTCCACAGTCTTGGCGTCAGCCCAACAAACTGGGCAACGCGGATGAACCACAATCTTTCTATCCCTCAAAGCTTCTGTAGTAGGAAGGATTCGACGAAATATTTTCCAGAGAAACACCTTTAACTTTGGCGGTATGTTAGCCTCCCAAAGGCGAATCCAACTTGTACGATCCATCCAATCCACCCCAGCCCTCCAACGACCCCTACGCCTGTCCAACGCAACCACCAGATGGTAAGCCGACTTCACCGAAAAATCACCATCCGCCGTGTCATGCCATATTAACTTATCCTCTACATTCACACATGGGAGAGGAATGGACTTAATATTCCGACAGGTGCTAGGGTCAAACCACTGGCTAAGTTTGGATTCACACCAACGACCACCCTCTTGGCAAATCAGCTCCGAAACTGGGGGATCCCCTCCTGGTGGCAAGATCAGAGGGTTATAACGAATCGGCTCAAACTGATTTTGGGGGATCCAAGTAGAGTGCAACATGGACGCCGCCCGACCATTCCCAATTTGCCACCGTAGGCCCATTCCCAAGAGTTCTCGCCCATAAAGAATACTCTGCCACCCCCACGAGGGGCGAGACCGAGCCTTCGCATTGAGGAAATGGCCATTCGGAAAGTATTTCCCTTTGTACACCTGGGCAAGCAACGACTGGGGTTCCTGGAGGATTTGCCATCCAATCTTAGCCAAGAGGGCTTGGTTAAAATGTTCAAACCGCCGGAAACCCATCCCCCCATCATGTTTACTCCGGCACATGTCCCGCCAGGACACCCAACGGACCTTCGAATGATTGTCCTCATCCCCCCACCAAAACCGGGCCACATGCCTGTCCAGCAGACGGCATAGGCCCAGCGGCAGCTTGAAGCAGGACATCACATGAAGGGGCAAAGCCATGGCCACCGATTTTATCAAAGTCTCTTTCGCCGCCCAGGATAAGGTTCTCCGTTTCCACCCCTGAAGGCGCTCCAGCAGTTTCTCTTCTAAGTAACGGAAGGTTTCCATCTTCGATCTGGCTATGAGGGAGGGGAGCCCAAGATATTTATCATGCACACCGACTGCCCCTACCCCCATACACGCTGCTAGGAATTCCTGGTCCGGACTCGTGATATTCTGACTGAAGCATACCGCCGATTTAGCCAGGTTCACTCTCTGACCACTCAGTTCCTCATATTCATTCAAAACTTCGATTAGATTTTCACATTCTTGGATCGTTCCACGCAAGAATAAATATGAGTCATCAGCAAAGAATAAATGCGAAATCCTCGGGGCTCTGGGGGCCACCTTTATCCCTGCCAATTTCTTCTCTGAGATAGCCTTCTTCAGGAGCGCCGCAAACCCTTCCGTGCATAGCACAAATAGAAGGGGCGATAGGGGATCTCCCTGTCGCAGTCCTCTGGAAGGAGTGAAGTACCTAGACGGAGTACCATTCATCATAACCGAAAAGGAGGTAGATCGAAGACACTCCTGAATCCAACCCCGCCAGACAGAATTAAACCCCATCTTTTCCAAAACCGTAAGGAGAAAGGTCCATTCGACTCTATCATAGGCCTTTTCCATGTCAACCTTCAGAGCCATGTAACCTTTCTTCCCACGTTTTTTTATTTTCAGGTAATGCATAATTTCATGTCCGAGGAGGATATTTTCGACAATCTGCCTCTCACGAATGAAAGCATTTTGACCAGCCGAGACAATTGTCGGTAAGATACAGGCCAGTCTCTCAGCCAGAATTTTGGTAATAATTTTGTACACAAATTGGCATAGACTGATAGGACGCAATTGCCTCATTGATTCAACATTATCCACTTTTGGGATGAGTGTGAGCCAGGTATGATTGAAACTACGAATCATCTTTCCCGTCGAGAAAAAAGAATAGACAGCTTCAATCACCGACGGCCCCACAATATCCCAAAAAGACTTGAAGAATTTTCCCGTAAACCCATCCGATCCTGGCGCCTGTTTTGATCCCATAGCAAAAACAGTCCTCCGCACTTCCTCTGGCAGAACAGTCGCAATCAAGGCATCATTCATGGCCGGAGAAACCACTTGGTCAATGGGCAATGAAAAGACGCGCTCTTTCATGTTCGGGACCTGATTCTCAGAAGTGAAGAGGTGACGGTAGAAATCCGTCGCAACCTCTGCTTTCTCCTTCTCATCAGCGACCCATTCCCCATTGTCCGTTTGGAGCCCAGCTACAAAGTTCCTTTTCCGACGGGTTTTAGTTACTGTGTGGAAGTACGAAGTATTTTTATCCCCCTTTTTGAGCCAGTGGACCCTAGATTTTTGCTGCCAATAAATCTCTTCCACTTCCCACTGCCGGCTTAATTCTACTTCCAATTCACGAATCTCATCCCAGTTAATCGGTTGGATCTTTTTGATTCGCTCAATTTCGCCTTGCAGTGTTCGGATATTCCGCAGAGAGTTCGTGGTCCCCGCTCTACTCCAATCATATAGAAGATGACGGAGTTTTTTGAGCCGCTCCCAGAGGCAAAACATTGGGGTCCCTTCCACGCTTTCTTGCCAGACATAGGCCACCATGGCTCGCACCTCCGGATTATCCGCCCACCGCGCATCAAAACGGAACAGAGGGCGACTCTGGCGAACATAGGGTTTGTCAGCTAACAAAAGCGCCCTATGGTCCGACCCTTGATCCGTAAAGTGCTTAACAAGAGTCTCCGGGAAGCGGTCCTGCCAAGACTGGGAGCACAGTGCTCTATCCAGTCTTTCACGAATGCAGGCCGCCCCCATTCTTTTGTTCGTCCAAGTGAAGGGGTCCCCTTGATACCCGGGGTCAAAGAGGCCAAGATCCTGAATGAGATCACGGAGTCTAAGAGCCTGACCTAAGTTCCATTGGTTCCCTCCCTCCTTCTCACTCTCATGGAGGGTAACGTTAAAGTCGCCAATAATAACATAAGGTTCAACGATGCCATTTCAAAGACCCTGAAGTTGGTCAAGTTGGGAAGCGCGAACAGAGGTATTACAGCTAATGTAAACAAAGAGAACCACGTAGGCTAAGTTCAATTCATTAATGCGAACACCAATACAAAAACTCGAGTGATAAAACACCAAAGCGTTGACTTCAGGGGTCCAAGCAACAACCAGCCCACCTGAAGCGTCAACAGCATCGACAAAGAAACAACAAGAAGAAAGGAAACCTAATCCCCGCATACGGCGGGTCACTACTCTCCGGCTTGATCGAGTTTCAGAAAGGAACACGAGGTCCGGTTTATTCGAATGGACCAAACTGAAAGCAGATTGAAATGTGAGGGATGGTCCAATTCCCCTCACATTCCAAGCCAGTAGTCTCATTTAATCGGGTGGGGCCACTCGAGGCTGGCTTCCTCCACCTTGTCAATTCCTTCCTTATCCTCCACAAACTGTTTTTTTGGGGTTGGTATTTCTGGCAAATCCCCTTCAACCTCATCAAGGAGCCGCTTTTTCTTTCCTCTCCCCTGCTCGAGGATGTTAGTACCATACTCATTGATGTGTAAGTTCGACTTGTCAAGATGTTGTTTCAGAGTTGCTCCCACCGGATCTTCGATCTCAGTCATGGTCAAGCCCTTTTCA